TCACTCCAGCTCAAAAATTCCCTATATCGGCTGCCATACCGGTAATCTGTATGTTTTTTTTCCCTCCTCTAAAATCGGTACCGGCCTGAAAAACCCCCTTATTGGTCGAGGTCTAGTAGCTACCACACACCCTGATGTAGCTCCACAAGAGATATAAAGACTGAGTGCATCTGAGGAGCCAGCTGGGTCTTGGCAGCTGTCCACACAGTTATGCAAGACATAAGACGTTGGTAGCATACGGTGGGGGGGGGGGATTGTACAAGATAGGAGAGGACGTATAGCACATAAGGTGTAAACAGCTGCTGTTAAGTGCCAGGTCAAATTCTTATAATTTGTTTTGCCTGCATCAATGTTCGTGTGATCTTCCACCAACTGGTATGTTTCTTCAGTAACATCAAATGTTGTCATCTGCACTATCAGTTATATGAGATTTAAAATCAACACTAAAAAAAAAGATAGCAAATCTTGCTTGAACATTATTAAAACATTTACATTAGGTGTCTGCTGTCTCTTTAAATACAGTGTAGCTGGGTGCACTGAGAGGACCATTTCAGTGAGTGTAGATAACAGTGTGTGCACATTTCCACAACAACCGTCTGCCAGAGTCAGCCGAGTGAATGACTTCTGACGTGTTATTTTCTACAAAAGGGAGCAGGGCAGGCAAAATGTGTTCAATGCTGACTGAGTGAGTAAACCAATCACTCAGTCTCCAATTTCTCTCAATTTACTCCGGATACGGCCGAGGTAGCCCCAAACACAACAAACCATTGTAGAAAGTGGAAGCATTACATCATGTAGATATTACAGTACTACGCTAGAAACACCAAAAAGGCACAAAGGGTGCCGTGAGAGTCGTGCTCATCAGAGTGGGCGGTGACGTCACAAGGAGGGAAGGAGGGCTGAACATGCATTGTATGCACAAGGGCACGCTGACCTTCACGTGCGGTTGATACTGATTCAACCAAGAACGACACAGCCCATAGGGACACACAGCTGACTGCAGTGATGCAACCGCGAGGCCGAGCAGAAATTTTGATGCATTGATCACAAGTCTTTGATCGGATTATCATGTCATCCCAATTAGTAATTTCATTTTTGTTCAAAGCACACAGAAAATGTCTTATTATTGCATCTGGAAGGTTTTAGCAGCTGCACTGACAATGAGCAATTAGTTGTGATTTCTTTGATGTTGTAATGTAATACGAGTTATTCACCAGGAGTGATATCTATGCATAGGTGTTAGTTGAGGATACAGGTGCTAATATCCAGGTATAGATACAGTATAAAGTCGTGTCATGTAACTGGTCAACTCCACCTTCATCAAAAATAAAATGATATTAGGTAATGCGAGATGCCTTTGGATGTTATGGTGGCCAGTAGGCGCCTTGTGTGAGATCTGAGAGTGGAATCATGCATCAGAAATCACAAGAGATGTCACCTTCACACGAGGCTCGTTAAAAAAGTGTTTTTAAATTGCGTTGTAGCTTCAAATGGTTCAGTTAACTCGGCACTGACTGCTGTCTGTATCAATGCCACCACCAATGAGGACGTCAAACCACCTTTAGTCTAAAAAAAATAAAAAATACTGACATTTTAAGAAATTTGCATCTAAAACTCGTTAGTTAAACTATTTCAAGTAATGGTGTGATTATTACGTACTGACCTCTCAATATTATCATGAAAACGAGTCTCCCTTTTGTGTCCTATAAAAAACATTAATGTTTGGCATCAATATTATAATTGGCTTGCCTCATACAGACTTGCTTAGATACATCAGTGGGGTTTTATTGTATTTTAATACATTTGATAATGCAATCTTAGGCCAAACATTACCCAAAAAACTAATACTATCCTAGGTTTCTGACAACCAGATAATACTGATAGGTGTAAAGGTCTTTTAGCACATCTTTTTGGGGTCAATACATAGAAACTTTATGGAGCTTATATGAGGATGGATTGTTGTGCTTCATTGTACGCCTGTATTTCCGATGTATAGAATTTATTTGGTTTATTTCCCCCATTCATTTCAAATCCATGTAAAAATAAACTTGAAAGCGCAGGCTGATAAGTTGGCTAGTGTTTGTGTGAAAACGTATTAAGTGGGGAAAAAAACAGACTTTATCGTTAAGTTACGGTGAAAATACAATGCTGTGTTGCAGGCGAATCTTCCCATTTTCATGTGATGCAACTCGACTATAGCAGCTGAGTAACATAAATAAGTCTTACATTTTGAAAATGTTATTCAGCCGCTATGGTCGAGTTGCATCGCATGAAAATCAGACATCCATCCAACATATAAGCTCCATAAAGTTTCTATGTATTGACCCCAAAAAGATGTGCTAAAATACCTTATCAGTATTATCTGTTTTGTCAGAAACCTGGAATAGTATTAGTTTTGGGGCTTTTTTGATTAAATAAGACCAACATTTCTTGCCAGCATATATCAATAAAAAAGCCACCCAGACACAATGGACAAAAAAACAAATGACCAGTTAGAGATGAAATTAATAATTACTTGAGTAATCGATCAACAGAAAATTCAATCATTATCTATCTTTCTAACCAATTACTTGTTTAAGTCCAAGCAAACATGTCATTTGATGGTTCCAGCTTTTCATGTGTGAAGATTTGTTTATTTTTTTACCATTAAAAATTTTGTCTCATGATAAACTAAATAACTGCAGGTTTTGAACTGCTGGTCAGACAAGACAAGCAATTTAAAAGACATCATCTTTGGCTCTGGGAAACTGTGGTAGTATTCCCATCATTTAGACACAAAATGATTACACTACACTAATTGAGAAAATAATCAGCACATTAATCATTAATTAAAAAATAATGTTAGTTTCAGGGCTAATACTGATGTCAACTGCTGGATGTGTGATGGCTTCAAGGTCTTCCCAAAATATTGCAATCAGGAGATACGAGTCAACAAAGTGGACCACGAGAATGGCACGTCGTGATTTTTAGATCCACCACTTGCCCAAATATAGAGGAGATAGTCTAGCATTACAGTGCATTTATAAAAAGCTATAACTCTTACTTAATCAACGTAATTATGTTGCTGGCACAAATAATCTTTAATATGGACCATTGAATATTTAACTTACATCGAAAGCAACCCGAAAGCAAACACCATTCATGCTTTTTTTTTTTTTTTTAAACTTACTTATTTATTTATTAATCTTATAACCAATAAGCACAAGTATCCACTCGTGGGCTACAACTACCAACGACTTTATGGAGGAGCACCTGAAGGCAGCACAGCCATTGCTGTCACTTCTAAAAATCCCTCCACCGTTATTGTGTGATTAGACGACTAGTTAACTGTCCAATTTCACCGATTCAAAGTCCTCCTGGTTTGTCATTATCGTTATTAACTCCGGTAGCAGGGCAGCCTCTGTACACCAGCTGGAGTCAACTCTTAGGGCCAGTCATCATGGCTTAAATGCTAGGTTGCTAACACCAACCACAGCTAGCGATAATGTCGACCTGGACGGTGTCAAGTTTGGAGACAAAAACGTCGCCATTACTTCAATATACGCCTTCGCCCTTCGCTGTTTAATGATATGTCATTCCCTACTGCTCGCTGTATCGTCTCCCGTCTTCTTTTATTTCTATTTTTTTAACGCTTGACAGTAGCAGCAGCATCAAATTAGCCAGCAAGCTAACTTAACGTGGCGAGAGGCTCCAGCCTCCCTCAATGCTGCAATGTGGGTTAGCATCTGAGCGTCCAGGTAGCTAACAACCCCCCACCACCACCACCACCACCACCCCCAGCCCCAGCCGCCACATCCTGCCTGTTTGTTTTAACAACATCACCTGCTACCTGCTAACAACTACTGCGTGTATCCAAGAGGCGTTTGTTCACTCACCTTTTGCGTTCAATCGTCCAAAATCGTTGACAGTAGAGGGGTCTGCTTCCTCAGCTGTAGCTCTTGGGTCTGGTATTTTCGCCCATGCTGCATTATCAGAGGGCGGCGACAACAATGAGTGACAGGGATCAAAGGCCAATGGGAGAACAGGTCGCCGTGGCTGAAGGGTTCAGCCAATCAGCGCTTAAAGTGACGTAGCGCTGTTGAGCTGGGGGGGGGGGTACACGTGACTTCCAGCCAGCGCTGTTTACCATTGATGCAATCGGCGCGCTGCATGTTAACCATTTTTAATGTAACAACAAAGAGAAAGTCATCGGTTGTAGTCTGCAGATATGTTCGGCTTGCAGCATTGTTGCGAAACGAAGCTCCGCCTCCTTTAGATGAAAACTCCCCTCGAGGAGTTAAATCCCTTCCCTCGTGTCAGTTTCCTTATTGCTGCTAGATTAAATAAATATTTAATTAGCGTAAAATGTCAGCAGATTTTAGAGATATTAGGTGACCCTTCCCATGAAGACAGACTGTTGGAGGGAACTAACAAACTAGTGTAAGCGCTGAATAATCACTCCTCTTGCAGAAGAGTTGAGATTGCATTTCATCCTTGAACAGATGTAATCAAAAAGGATATCTCTCTCAGTGCTATATGCTTTAATTCTTTCATATCTAAATCCTGATAATAGCATATTGATAATTGTACATTCGTGCACATGGACAGGCTCGTGAAGGAATTTATGTTTATATTCTTGTCTCCACTAGGCGGCAGCAGATTGCTGTTATAGTTATTGATAAGTAAAATGTCCTTTCCCCTTATTAAGTCTCTTAAATACTTATTTAAGAAACTAAAAATTATACATGATACTCATATATGGGTTTATTATACTGTTTTTTTCTGTTGCCTGCTGTATGACTTGCACCTCCCTTAAAGAAAAGTGCAGTCCCATTCTTCCTGCACCATGTGTGCCTGTTAGGACTAATACTATCTGTTGTTTCTTAAAATAAAACGTGTATATTTTCACATTTTATGTAGCTACATAACTAGCAAAACAAAGCCACTTCTTTGATGAATTGAATTCCTTTGTTTGCGCACATTGACCACGGATGTAGAAATAACCAGAGCGAAGCATTAAACAGGGTTTGGCATTTAATATAATAGTCAAATGTACAGAATTGTTTCAGTTGGACATGCATGCAAAAATCATCTCGAGACGTCTCATGTGAAACCAGCACAAGACATCATACTTGACTACAGTTTCAAATGAAGAATCTTTTCACACTCATATTAATTATTAAAGTCACATGACATTTGCTCAACATTGTTTATGGCCATATCAAAGGCATCTGCAAGAAAAGAGGATGATTGGTTACAATATGTTCTTTAGTTCACGGCCCTAAAAAGGTTAGGACTATAGGACTGTTAAAAATGAGGCCTACAAGTTGACCTTTAATAAAATGTGTGTATTTTTGCTAATACTGTTTACATATTTGGTCTTCTCATTATGCAATACCAATGGTGTCATTTGTCACAAAAAAGTATCAAAATGTGGGCATTTGTTTTCAATAGAATATTATGAATCATATAACCTCCTTAAATAAAACTAGCTCTTACACTAAAGCATTACAAAGAGAAGAGCTGCAATATAAAAAATACAAAATACAAAATGGAGGATTCAATCCTCTTTTTCAGACATTTTTCATTAGAGACAATATGACTGCGGTGACAACTGTGTTCAAAGTGCATTCTTGTCTATTCAGGATTATTTAAGGAAAACAATGAGCAAAAGCACCGACTGTGCTTACTCCAATAAGGATTGCCACATAAAAAAAACAAAAAAAACAGAGTGTAAAAGTTTTGCATACTTGGCAAAAGAAAGAATCTGAAGCAGGACGTGCAAGAGGTGGCGCTCGTTCTTTGTGATAGCTCTGCTGTCACAAATCAGGGTGCCGATTGCAAGCTAATGATACTTATGAACACACAGATTCACAGAATTGTTACACTTCGAGTTACAGGTATGTATGTGTTGCATTATAGAACTATAGATCACTTTAAACAATACCTTTGGTTAAAAAGGAAATCAGAAATGAGTCGCGCAAGAACAAAGAATCGCTATGAACAGTAATACTGAATTGTGATGATTCATTCAGCTGAGGGAGAAGTGGTTTATGAGGAAGTGCTTCGGATATAAGGGGTGGACGTGTCTGAAAGTGCTGAATTCATAAGACTATTGATTTAAAAAAACTTTATGAGTCCCGCAAATAAAAACATAACAATTTCACTTTTTTTCCAACCTCACCACAGAGCACATGCCCTATGGCTCTTTTAATAAGAAAAAAAAAACAAAATAAATTTGACTTGTAATTATTTGTATGTTTTGGTATTTATATCTTAGTATATTTCAACTTCAGACATCTGACTATTGGACAGTGGTGGAGTTAAGGGTCTTCGATGTCCAGGAAATCCTTTTTGGGCGGTGCTGCCCCTCTGTACCAGGCACAAGAGTCATCACTCCTCTTGATACAAGCAAAGTGTTTGGCCTGCTCTCCGCTGACCGTCTTCTCGAGCACCCAGTCCAACCACAGGCACTCTTTTGGGCTGCTGATCATGCAGGGGATGGAGGTGCAGCGAGTGATCTGAGGAGCGGAGAAAAGAGACCAGGAGATCAGGGACTGAATTTGCAACAAGCAATGCATCTTTCAAGGTCATTTTTAGTTTGTGGTAACTTCTTTACCTTGCAATCGCAGCCCATTTCGTAGCGCTGAGTCAGGCTCCTCTTCTGGGTTTCACTCGTGGCCTCCCAGGGCTCAATGAAGTCGCACAGTGTGATATGCACTGTCCCGTCAGCCTCCAGTTTGCCTGTAGTGGAAGGAGAGCGCATTAGAGGCAGTGAGAAGACATGAAAACATATATAAAGATGTAACAAGGAAATATATTTGTTATATTTTATAATGTGTGATGTGTAACTGGGTAAAGGTTCTACCTGTGATAAGATACTCCTTGCCATTAGTCTGCAGAGTCACTCCACACACTGCAGAGGAAGGAGCAGTGTAGATGGCATCAATTACCTGGTTGGGACCTTTGAACATCTGATGGTTGACACAGAGAAAAGAACATTTAGATTCATACTGGAATAAAGTTTACAGCATGAAAACGATAACTTTGTCCCACGTACCTTGATTTGTTTGATGTCATACTTGATCCGTTTTATGGGGTTTCCATAGATGTCGTTGCCAACCTCAACCTCCTGCTCTCCGACTAACCTTGCCCTGATAACTGCAAAGAGACAACAAAAACAACCCCACAGTTACTCGACAGCAAAGTTTCAAATCAAAACAACTATTGTCATGTTAAAACCGAGCTGGATCTGAGACCGTCTGTATCTGATCTAAGCCCTGCCTAGGTTTGGCATGCTGGAGCTGGCCACAACACATTGCTGTGGCTTGGATCTGAGGAGTTTGCATGTGCCAGGTGCTGGGAAGACAGAGGCACATGAGTGTTTCATCAGCTGCAATCAGAGGGAGGAATGTGTGCTGCTTGCTCCACGGGCTCCCGGGCCGACACAGGAGGAAGCTAGTCAGCAAATCTTTGAAAAGCTGAACTAGAATGCTCCGCTCGCCCCCAAGGCCTCTCTGCCGGCCTGCCTCTCTGTCTGGATAGAGGTGCTGACATGCAAATCAACCTCTCTCCCTTTCGCGGGCAGCCTTTTCCCTTCTTCTTCTTCTTCTTCTTCTTCTGCTAATTCTGATTCTTTTCTCTCTTCTTGAACTCTGAAGTCGCAGCTCCCAGAGTCAGAGAGGTTTGGACGAGGGGGAAAAAAATATAGAACAGTTCAAGTGGAAAAATATTATCAGAGCCATACGGATGAGCCTTTGAGCTCAAATACTGAGTATTCAACAAAAAAATAAATAAATGACTCATGACTCACACAAACACTGCTTCTGTTGTGTGTATCCAAATGTTAAAGCACAGTATAGCATTGATCATATGCCAGCCACAGTTAAATACCTTTGGATTACGGGTATCATTACTGCACAATCACATGACTACTACACTGAAAAAAGGTCATATTCAAGATCAAGCTTTTAACTGGAGGAGACTAGTGACAAAGCTAATGTTAACCAGATGTTCCCTCTCAACTCCCTGTTCAGTCCTTGCTTTCCCAAGGTAGCAGCTACTGACTTCCCCAGACCATCACCAGCCTGCTTCCTTACCAAATAAGATCAAGCCTTTTCATTTGCTTTTTAAAAGCTGAAGGTATGAAGCTGCAAGCCATATGTGCCCTAACTTGATGACAATGGAGGCTCAGAGAACATCTCCTTTTAAGGGTCTAAAGACTCGACCCTTAAAGAGAAAAAAAAAGGAAAAAAACAGAGAAAAAAGGAGAGTGTGTGCACGCAGATGGAGAGAGTGATGGAGTGTTGAGGATGGTTGCCTTCTCCGAGGCGAGGGGGAACGGAGGGGAGAGTGGTGATGGAACAAATTGAAGGGCTAGCATTAGCCTACTAGTCTCCTGTGTGTGCAGGGAGGAGATAGCCCTTCAGAGCTGCACCCTCACAAACATACAAGTTGACAGGGAGAGAGAAAGAGGCGGCGGACAGGACAACAGAGAGAGAGGGGGAGGATTTAGTTTGCAGCCAAGAAAATGTTCAAAATACTGGAGTTGTGCAAGCTGTGTTCTTTCCTGCAGAGCTACTGCAAAGTAGCAGATATGCTGGCAAACGAGCTGTACACACTAAAAAAAGGCATGATTTAGAATGACAAAGAGGAAGAGGACTTTGGTTTATCACAAACTCCTTCAAAACACTCTGAAACACACTGAGCAAGGAGCGCTGAGAAAACTCTCCAACTTCTCTGGCTACAAAGTAGATTAGTGGTAATCCCCTTCGCCTGAGTGTGCAGAATCACACACAGATCACTTCTCCTTCTACTAGCGTAAAGTAGGGCAGGTGAAAATATGCACAGTATGTAAAAAAAACACTGAAATATGGGGGCTTATGTGAATGATACATATAATCTGAGCATGTGAGCTCTAAAGACAACCTTGTGAAGGTTCTGGTTAACTCTTTGCATTGTCTGCAACGTGCTAAAAATAGACACATTATAATAATAAGATGTTTTCTCCATTTCATTATCTACAGAAATATTTACATTCCAGCTTTTTAAGTTATAGGCAATAATCAATACAATCCAAAACAAACTCATTCTGTCATGCCAATTCCATTACTTGCAGTGGTTTACTCCTCTAGTTAAAGTCATTTAGAAATATGACTTAATCTTCTGTGCTGATATACAGTCAGTGTATACCCAGTTGTCACAGGATATGGTGATGTTTACTGGAACAGGCTGACCAAGCCCTTTAAAAATAATAAGTTTCAGAAAACTGGGCATTAAGGGAACCATCTCATTTTCTAGTTACTCAAACAATAAACACATTATTTTGCATCTAGTATTGTGGTCATGGGAGTGCTTTAAAAAACAAAGAGAAGAAGAGAAGAAAGCAAATGCATGTCATGTAATTGCAGGGCCTGTACATCCATTTTCCTCTCTGAGAAGCCACAAAGTGGTCAGACTTTGAACAAGAAAAACTAAACTACAAATTCAAACTGACTGCTCAGAGCTGATCCAATCTAAGGATATATTGATATAATCCACCATTATACATTTGGTTACTTTTAAAAATGAAATTTCATGCTGTTTAAAAGCTCTGTTATAATCCCATCAGGGAAGAAAAATGCTCACAATTTGTTTTTCTGGCACCTTCTTTTTATACTTTTACACTTTTTTTACCTTTCTTCAATTCAATTAACTTTTTTGCTTCAGTGAGCGCATTAAATGAACCTGCCAGACGGATCAATGCAATGCATTATCACTGCTGATGCTGGAGCTGAAAGCAGCTGTTTGTGAGCGCATGCACAATTTCAATCTGCCTTTTAATGTCAGCTTTTATTTACACAGCTTGCAGTTGAGGGCTGTGTTTATACCGGAAGTCATGATAAAGACAGCTTTCTTTTCGAGATAACTCGCTTTCCTTCTTCGCAAAAGGCGGCACAGGTACACTATAATCACAAGAACTGTGAAATAAACTGCAAATGCATAATGAGTGCAGCATATGACCGCCCAGCATTCCTCTGCCTCAGCCAAAGACCCAAGGGATGGATTTCAATTTATGAGGAAACTTTTTTTTTTTGTTCCTGCTCTCTCTGTTTTGACAAGATAAATGGAACTACATATTTACAACTATAGCTGACCTGGTATTTTGTTTACTGGAATGGAGGGAGAAATAAGCCAGGCTCTAGTAAAATACTACGGTCAACTATGTAACCAGTTAAAACCAGTCTGTTTTGATAAGACTTTTCCCTGCTTATCCTTTTCATCAGGATTTATTTTTCAAAGTCTTTACTTTTACCCCTATTCTTCTCTGCACCTTGACTTTGCTTCCAACAAAAAAATAGATTACAGGAAGTACAATGCATCATCTTTTAAATGGACATTGCAAAGGGCCCAATGACCTCACCCAAATGTGTGGTTTGTAGACTGTGTGAACTCTCACAGTTCTTCCCTAAATGAAAGATTTTTAATTGACACACTGAAACTGAAGTTTGCAAGCTACTCTGGTTCTTGAGTAATTTTCCGTAGGCTCCAGACACTCTAACTGTACGTCTGTGCAGCTTGAGTAATACTTTCACTTCAGTAAACTGTCACTAAGTAGGGGTTCCTCAAGGCAGCATCTACTGTGCAGTCACAACATGGGAATAACCCATAACCCTCATATTCTATATACTAATACTGCATTTAATCCAAATAACTTTGATTTATTATGACACCAGAGCCAATTGCTTACAGTTCAGAGGATAGTAGATCACTAAAATAAAGATGATTCAACTAAACTGAAATAAAAGCCAACAAAGTAAAGGCAGAGCTAGAATTGGTAGATAATGGCCTTCATTTTGAACATATCACACATCACTTCGCAAAATCAAAGCCAACCATTCATTTTCTTTGTAGCAGACGATGACTTTAAACGCCAATAACATCACAAATTAAAAAGGTTTCTCTCTGAAATTTAAAAAAAGTTCACAAACTGAACTCGCCTGTGAAACAGCAAACTATATTCTCCTTGAAGGACCTGAGTCTCAGGAACAGTTCTGAAAGATTATGAGGCAAAATCAAGAACCTTTTGGCTAGAAAGGCAGATCTTCTTGACAAAATGGTGGTTTATGTTAGTAGGAAGGTCTATCCATGGTGCTGAAGCATGGGTGATGGGTTTAAGGTCATGTTAGGACCTGAGCTCAGTGACTGTGATGAAATGAAACAGTCAGATGACTCATCAGCACCTTAGTTTAGGTTTAAAATGAACCCACAGGACAGATCCCTGAGCCCTCTGCATGGCCAAATTGGAAGCCTGCATAAATAATAATAATAATAATAATAATAATAATAATAATATTGGTGGTCTTATTAGTAGTCGTGGCCTAATATACTATCCCAGGGGTTGTCAAAGCGGGAGGTGGGCCTCTGTGGGGGCTCCAAACAGTGCCCACCCTACAGCCTTTTGTCATGCAATTACATATAACTGTAACTGTAACAGTAGTTAGTCACAAATTAAATGTCCAAATTCTAATAAATAAATAAATAATAATTTAATACACATCCTTCACTCTCTCTGAATGTCTGACATTAAAAAGTTGAAGGTATTTTTTTTTTTTTTTTTAATCAGACTTCTCTTTACAGTAAACTCTCTGGCAGGATCATGTGGTTTCTTCACCCTCCAGAGCCATGGAATCCAATGGTAAAGAGAAACCTTTGAATAAGCCAGCTTCTGTATACATACCACACAGTCAGCCAGCTCTCAACTCGAGAAAAAAGACCCTCAGCAAACCCCAATTTAAATAGCTGCACAAGCTGGTCACTGTTGAGACTCTCCTTAGCTTAAGGCCTGTGTTGACGCCAGCAACAAGCAGTGTTTTGTAACAGGTAAAATCAGAGGGGAACTATCTGCGTGGCTTTTGAGAAGGAGTAAATTAAATTGCCAGTTAGTAGTCATTGAGGAGGTAAACCACAAACCTCAGAGTTGAGGATGGTGGAAATCTTTTGCCTGCATTACACTTTACACCAGGAGGGGTGGGACATATTACCATGTCTGTGCTGTTTTCTTGTGAAAATAAAAAAACACTCCACAAGTGATAGTTTAAGAGGTATAAATAACAGTGGAACACATTTGTAAGCAATCTTGTATTAAAAAAAAAGAAAAAAAGAAAAGTTACAAAAACAATGCCATAAAGAAAAAAACAAAAAAAACTGTTTTTACATTTGGTGCTTCTATTATACTGTAGGTGGAAAAAAGTAGTTAAAAAATGCCATAAAGTGCATTTCTGTCACTATCCAGACTCAGCAGATGATTAGAGAGAAAGAGAGAAAGAGAAAAAAAAAGAGAAGAAGAGGGAAGTGGAAGGGAAAGATTGAGAGACAGAAAATTCCATCCTCCTCCCCCTGTAATTGTAAACACAAGAGTAGGGGCAAGTTTTCCCTCTCAGCATTTACAGGTTCAGCTCATCACACTTTAAAGGACAACAAATACGGACTAAATCCCCACTGCATTGTGCTCATTCAGTTCTGACTTCAGTGAATTTTACTTACCGACGTCTGAGTTGCAAAACGCCTGCTGAGGATGCGCAGGGGAGCAGCTGCAGGCTTCTGCTATTTCTTCCACTCGCCAGAGAAACAGGATGGCCAGAGTGACTAAACAACTGTTCGCCGTCCAAGTCATCTTAGAAAACTACTGCTGTTTTTAATTTTTTCAAAAAAAAAAGAGGTTGGGTGTGGAGGAGAATTGTGAAGGAAGTTGCGCAGTCCTAAAGCGAGCCTTTCAAAAAAAGGAAAGAAATGTCCCCCCAGCTTCAAACAGACGGTCCACTTGTCAAAGTAAGAGATGCACAAAGCGTAAGAGGGGAGTTCATTCCTGTTGGACTGGCTGCGCTCAGGCTCCGGTTCCTCCAAAAATCTGTTTTCCACTACCGTCAGGAGCAGTTTTTATTAGTCCAGGCTGGCAGCAGACTCCTCCCCTTGCTTCTGGTCTCAGCCAGTGAGCACAACAGCACTGTGGAGGTCAGGGGCTCCCGAGGTTTTCACATCCACCCGCTGTCCCCCGTCACCTTCTGTCACAACTCCGTTGCCTGGAGAAGTGGATGATAACATTTGGGGGGGATGACACATACAACATCTGTTAAGTAATCCTAGCCCTAACCCTAACCCTAAACTATCAGCCTTTTTTTCTTTTCCATGAACTGTATTTTATAGGTAATTTATAGCTACTTTCACATTTTCTTTGCCAAATTTAAATCAACAATCCCCCCAATATAACGAGATTTAAATCTAACTTTAATTTACTTATTATTTATGATTTATTGTCATCAAAACTCTAATCCTATAAGCAAAAGAGAAATAGCCCGAAATAGCCTTAAAATGGGGTCATTATGTTGTAGGTATTTCCTTATCTTACTATCTCTGTGAGTACATTTGGGTCTCACAAAGTCACCGGACAGCTATTTTGTGGTTTTGCCATCACCTCATTCCTGTGATGTAGCCTCTGGGAAACGTGGGTGTGTGCTCAATTAAATTCATGGCAAACTGATCATGGGTTTATTTTTATTTTTATTTTTTAAAGTGGAAATTTTGGCCTCATGGTGACACTGCAGAAAGGTCAGGGGGTCGCACAGAATCAATAGGATTAGTATCCATGAACATCCACAGTAAAGATGAAAAGGAATACTTCGACATTGCAGGGAATACTCTTATTTTGTTGATGCTTGAGTGTATCAATTTTCTTATCTAACCCTCTGTCAGGAAGAAAATAAGCGAAACATCTAACTATTCCTTTAGTTTGACTAGAAGCTGTCAGGGTGTACTGCTCTGGGCTGACCTCCATCTGCACCTCCATCCTGTGGTAACAGTAACCTTACAACACTTACCGTATCTTACAATACCTGTGGTATCGCTACAAGTTGAACAACTTTCACACAGTATTGCTCTGATTAGTGTTCTTCCCTTTTTTTTTGTATTTTCTCTGTTGTTTTGCAATGTAATATTAACCTTAAACCTGCAATAACTGTTTTTGTTGTTCACTTGGGGGCAGCAAAAACAAGCTGTAAACACAACATTGACATGTCATCACCTTTAATCAGAAATACTTTATTGATCAGTAAGCACAATTGTATAACGATATCTTACAATATATCTAGAAATAAAAATATATTTTTTTATATCAGTACATACATATAAGATAAAAAAAATAGTAAAATATGATAAAAGTCTAAGTATGTACATTATAATACAATATATAGAGATAGAAGTAAGTGTACGTTAAAGTATATGACCAACAGAAGTGTAATACAATTAATATGGTGAAACTGTTAACAAACAACTGCCTCTTTACACATCTAGCAGCTACAGAGCAACATTATCATTCACTTGGAGCCGTGTGTCCGGTCACCTGGCGAGTGTAAGTCCAATATTCACTCTCTTGTAGCTGTTTTTGGTCTCTACCAACTGCTGAGGGAAATATCTGGATCTTCAGCTGTTATATGTTGTTCTGTATGTTCACAGGTTTGTCTGTCTGCTGTTCAGTACTGAGCAGGTAGTGTACTGTGTAGTGTAGCGACTCCTTTTCACCTGTCATTATATGTTTTAATACAATAAATGAATATAGCTGCTTTATAATCATAATGATAATTCACAGATGAGAAAACACTGATGTGGATCTTGCTTACTAATCCTCAGCCCATGCCGCACCTCAACTGTGGTTTTAATTCAGTGAGAGTGTTCATGCATGTGCATTCAGTTTTAGTGACTATTGAAACATTGTGATGAAAATACTAAGGAAGAATGAAGGAGGAGTGGTGGAGTGGGGAGAAGTGACATCATCCCCTTAAACTTAATAGATTCAATCTGGTGGCGATTCCCCCAGCGTAAGCTACCCAAACCCCTCCACCCTTCTGTGAAAGAAACATTATGCTATAGTCAGATTCTTAAGTTGTACCTCATCCCTTAGTGGCGCACAAAAATAGATGGCTCTTTTGTTGGAAAGTTCACTCTGCAACACCACCTTCAGGAAACGGAGGATCTCAAGAGTTTTGGGTTTGCGGCCTCCCGTGTTGATTCTGGCTTAGAAGTGGGAGATCACAGTGAGGGCATGGTGTGTTTGATGATTAGAGCTGATGATGAATAATGAAAAGGACCAGAGAGAGAGAGAGAGAGAGAGAGAGAGAGAGAGAGAGGGCTGTATGTGCTGCCTCGCTCCCTGACATCATATTTGGCCACCGACTGTCAGCCTTCTGGCTACTCTGGCAAATATTTCCACTCTTTTCCATAGTTGAGCATTTTTGCCTGGTTGCTTTTCCACAGGTCTCTTTTACTTGATGTCTGTGTAAAAACAGGGCAGACGCAGCGAGAGCAGAGAGGAAAATGGGACAACCAATTGACTTGTCATCTTTGTAATGACTAACCTCTGCATCTTTTTTTGCCGTTGGAAAATATCATTCTACATATCTTTGCCGTTAGCATTGGAGTAAGAAGTTAGATAAGGAAAATTACCAAATTGTTAGAAATTTTGCAAGCCTGCGTGACTCGTAAGCAAAGTGGAAGTTACCAGACACAAATCACGGCACAACAACGCAGATGCTGGGGCGTGGAACAGGAATTAAGACACACAAAAGGAAGTGACACATCCAAGACAAAATGAGCAGAAAAAATATGCTTCCACCTCTTTCCACATTTTACCAAGGATATCAGAGAAACAGCAGACGCCTTCTTCTGGGCAAAGCCTGCCGCCCCCTGTCCAAACAGTCGGCTTCCTCTGCACTCAGATGCTGACTGATGTGGTGTGCTCTGCTCAGATCGCAGCCGTGTCACCGGCTCCTGGGCATATTTCAAAATGACCTCACAGCATGACCATTCTGAGCTATTTCCCACACTGCCACTCTCCCTTTAGAATGGGGTTTTCACTCGCCAGTTAAGATCTGTATTATTGTATCAACATTTGGTTTTAATTTGTTTAAAGAGGGCTGATTTGTCAAAGAAGTGCAATGTAAGCAGCCCCCTGTGTACATTACCCATTACAAATGCCAAAAGGGGCTTAGGAATGGCCTGAACCTCCATCCCCTAAATTACAGACTTGCAAGGCCAGGAATACTTTCTGGAGGAAGTGCCCGGCAAGACAGAAAAAGAGGGTCTCATTGCGGGAACTGGTGGGTGCTGTGGCAGTGACCCACATCCTCTGACGCCCCCACCCCTCTCTGCCCTGTTGCCTGCACACATCCCACATGACCTGACCACCTCGTAAGCTTTTGGACTAGCCATCCCTTGATGCATGTCCACCCCCTTCTCTTCATCATCTGTGTGACCCGGCCACAGTCTAGGGGTAATTCCCATCACTTTCCATTCATCAGTACAGCTATTCACATTTTATTGGTGACAGTTTTGAGACAACGAATCAGCCTTTGCGAAATTCACCTCAGGGACAGGAGGAAAACATCTGTTTGAGAGCCAAAAAACCCACTCAAATCACACTCTGGGATCAAGGTCTGACTCTGAATTGGCCTCAGTGTGGCATCACAACCTTAGACTGTGTGCTAATAGCTTGACTGACTTTCGGTGGAATTGTTACTCAGAGTAACGTTTAATGTAATGTTTACAGAAAACTACCCTTTTACGAAACAGACCCATACTGGTAAAACAATAGGTCAATTATTGCACAGTCATTTCTTCCTCAGCACTACAGTGCTGTCACTCCATGACTAGTATGCCTGGGGTGGCACTTGAAATGAAACCAAGTGCCACCGACCCAATACTTACAACTGAAATTACACAACACATAGAATTTTCCATTATTTTGTGTGTGACGCAGTTGGGGTGTGAAAAGTGACAGCTTTGCTTTTTTGATTTGCACTAAACTTCCTCCATTCACTACACTACCATCCTTCCAAATACAGGTCCCTTTGTCTATGAATGAACTAATGGCTTTACTATTTGTATTATAATAACTCTATAAGCTATGCATAGTATTTGTAGTGTCAATTGAATTGTTATTTTGTTTTGTTTTTGTTATTATAACACTTTTCCTGTCATTGGGAAATTTCGGGAAGGAACTAGGGTTCAGGCGGTTAAATGCAATTACCTAAACCATTGTTCATGAAACCCACTCAATAGAATTTAGAAATACTGGGGCAAACCAAATAAACAAAGCATGCCATGACTTTAAAGGCCAATTATTTGGTGGGTTAAATGACACAACAATGAAAATACAGCCAGATATGACTCACAACAAAACAAGTCTACACTGTGATGAAATAACTGAACTTTCCCTCATCCTTCCCGGTGAATTACACTGCCCACACAGCCTGGCACTCTCTCCTGGCTGACAGAACCATAGGTATGAGTACAACACTGAACCATGTGGAGGAGTCATCTTCAAATATACACATTGATCACGTAATCCTTGCAACTGATTGGTGGTCTTTTATCGCGTCATGGTTTGTTGTTCACACAGGCAATTGCTCTTCTCAGAAACCCATGAGTCACTGTGTGTTAAATGCGGCTGGTTTATCCCACCTGCCCCGGCATGCAGGCCTGCATGTTGTCAAAGTGTGACTGTTGTGTGAAGCCGAATTGCAGGAAGACTTGAAGACAGTCTGGTGTGTGGTGAAGACACAATTGCATGGGAAGATTCCATGATTCATGAAGAGGAAACTGCTATCATCTTAATCAAACCCCTGTAAACAAAAACCCTTTGACATCCAGTATCTGATGATGTTGGATAAAGCCGACGGGTTTGAAGTTTGCTGTTTTTTCTCTGTTGGGCACGAGTGTGTTGATAAATGTGAGTTTTATTCCCACGGAAAGAAGTTAGGACGGAGAGTCTAGCACAAAGTCAGGGCAGATACCTTGTTAATTCACAGAGAGTGAGATGAGAAGATTATTACCACTGTTAAGTAGGCTTTAAGGTTTGTACAAGTACGAAGGTAATGAAGGTAACAAAACTACTGCTTATATCTCATTGGTTTAATCTTTATAATACACAGAATATAAAAATGACAAGGGGTTATGTGCTGGATCCTTCCATTAGGAGGGAAAGAGGAGAAAGCTTTGAAAACCCCCTCCTAAAAAATGAATCATTTTCTTTGTACCAACATCATTCAGCCACATGACATTAGACATGTAGCCTACTGATATAAACTACTAATGTTGGAGAGGATTTCTTTGCCATGCATTGACTTGCGGATAAATCGGAATGCCAGAAAAGAAGAGGCAGCTGGGAAGGGCTAAATAATTGTGCTCCCCACAAGGCTGAATAGAAAAGACAGAAGGCTAACATTACCAGACAAGAGGTAGCTAAAATCAGTGAAGGAGCCACCAGTTGTGTGAGACAAATGTAATGGGGGGGTATGCAATATCTCAGTATAAGGCACCTGGGCAATATTCTGGTGTAGTTTGATTGTTACACACTTGCTGTTACGTCAACTGTGCTTCCCAAATCCATGTGACAAATTTCTCCTAGGGGAGACAATAAAGGCTACTCTCATCTCATCTAAAAAAAGGAGAGAGCACACTTTTATATTACAGCATTCATTTAGCCCTCCCAGAAATAAAATGAGGCTATAAATCAGTCTGATGATTACTTGGCCCTGTTTGCACTGTGTGTCTCATATTAAACTCCAGATTAGGATTTATATTTTCTGTTGTTCTTATGAAGGACAAATTAAGTCACACACAGAAACACACACAGAAAATGTTCTAGAAATCACTTTATTCATTTTTCCAAACGCATAAACAATCAGGAAAGGATACTTGATATCGATTAAAGCACAACCAGGTGATTGACCGATAGCTAATCAACAGAGATCAATGCAATGAAAAATAAAAATCACTCAGATAATATTCATTGCAGTGTATTGAATAATAAGCACATTGATCACATGTGAGAAATATTCACCCCGGCCCTGTTGCTGAATCAGACATATTCTGGTCTCACTACAAAGTGGTAGATGTACTTGTCATCAGGACAGGGGTAGGCAGCAACGTGGGTCCCATTCACAGGGATTTGAGCCATATTGACCTTGAAATCCTGAACCTGACTGATGTACTTGCCTTGGCACAACAGCAGGAGCCGGTTGCGAAAGAGGATGCGGCTCTGCTGGGTGAGGTGGCTTTGGGGAACCAGCCTTGCCACAGGGAAGGACTCGCACCTCAGACCTCGGTTTGAACATTGCTGTTGGTTCTTGAAGACATTTGCCTCCCAACTAATCTTGTTGTCCTTAAAAATCAGGCTGTTGTGGATAGGTGTGCTGAATGACTTGGTTGGAGCATTATAGCCATAATACGTGTAGCCGTTGTACTGATTGTAATAGTGGGTTTGGACTGGAGCATCCTTCAACTCAATAGCAGTGCTCCATGGCTCAGCTGTGTAGATCCTGGGCTGGAAATGATCATCTTCGCTGCTGAACTGTGGGTTGGACAGATTGCTGAAGAGAATAACATTAAACTGGAGTGCTTTCAACATGTTATCACGATACATATCCTTATGAGTGCTGTAGAGAGGAGACTCATACTCCAGCTCATACAGTTTCTCAGCGGGGATCATAGGGAAACGGATACGACTCAACAGGTCAACCTGGGTTTTCAAACTGGTGAGAGAGATGCCCTTCTCCGTGATCCACCTCTCCACAGTCTGAAGCAGAAAATATTCATCTGGCACTACCAGGTCGGAGCGGGTTAGAAGGGATCCGAGGAGCTCACTGGAGAGGCTAGTCCAAGCAGGAGAGCTGGTCAGATTTTGGTAGTTCCAGGCCAGATACTGAATACAGTTCTCCTGGAGGACCAAGTCCCCAGTTTCCTCTGCATATTCGTAAAGGGACAGCGGGGTGTGAAACAAAGCGTCGTCTGGGAGGATTTTAGAGAACATCCGGCCTGCGTCCTCCATCAGCTGCGTCACCCCAAACTTAGAGGCCATCCAGTGGAGGCACTGCACGGAGGAGTAGGTCACCTCTATCTTGCGGGTGTAAATGTACCTATTGTGAAACAGATTGTAGAATAAGGGTTTGATTTTTTTTTTTCAGTGATTTTGTTTTCTATGTACCTTCTCACAAAACAACTAGGTGATATTAAGATGGACTCTGTATCTTAAATCAAAATGAATTGTTACAGTTTCAGTATACCTGACGAAGGAGGTGAAATGCGGTTGGCAGGACTGGCTGAGGCTGACCGTGATGTTACTAATTCCCTCTGAAGCATTGAACAGTGGGAACTGCGAGAGGATAATTTTGTGCGCACAAATCGTTGTCTCAACCATCTCCGGGGTCCCATCCTCCTGTCTGTTTCCCGTTGGAGATTGGACTAAGATCAGGAAGTCACAGCCATTCCCGGTGTCAAAGATTTGGCCGAGCGCATCAGACAGACCGAGGCTATGGTCCAGCAAGCGGGTAGAATCACCGATGGTCAAATTTGTGCCTGGAATCAGAAATAAATGGGACATTTGATAGAAAATGAGCATGGAAAGTAACAAGCTGCAAAGATCTACTTTCTATTTACTGGATCAGATGTCATCATTTGTTCTTTATAAAGGGGCCTTTGCCTTGTAAGAGTTTAGATACAAACCGGCTGTTTCACAAATAACTCCAACATCCTCTTTGTGGGAGCAGTCAGTCACTCCCCAGCCTTTGAAACTACAAGAAGACAGATGGTTCTCTGTGCCTTTACAGGTAACATCATCCAGCCAAATAGGTCCAGTTGCTATGAGGTAAAATAAAAAGGGAATAAATTAATTAATCATGACCTTTCTGATAGCTGAATTTGCGGTGTTTGTATGTAATCACAACTCCTCAGTCATTAAAATCATTTCACTGCCCTCTGGTGGCGGATAAAAGGAAGTACCTTTGCCGTAGTCTTTCCCAATGACGACAGATTTGGCTCCGGGGAAGTGGAGCTGACGACACACCACCTGGGCCTCAGCCATGTCCCACCCGTCGTCACACACCGTTCCCCATTTCCCTTCATGGTAGACTTCCACACGGCCCTCTGAAACATTCCTGGAGCCAAACAGCCTCACGTCACCTTCCTGCAGCTCAGGGTTTCTGTCTGTATGCAAACACAGGCGTAGGACATTAAACCATGACAGCAGATAAGTTAACATATTGCATATAGTTCTTTTGCAGTTCTACATCCAAAACTAGTACAGTACTAAAACGGATTCCTTTGCTTGAATTACTTTCAAGGTAAAAATTCTCAGCATTTTGTTAGTTTTTAACTCACCCAACAAGTTCAATCTGAATGCACTTACAGCAACGTGGAGAAGTAGCAGAAGCCACAGAGTGCATATTTTTCGATGTGTGAGCATTTCCAACCTCAAGTGTAGGACTCTCGACACGGATATATGATGACAAAGAAGCTGCAATGTGAGAAATATGCTATTTCTACTTTACTTTCACAATTTAAGATGATATCCTGAAGGATTTCGAGAGCACCGAGAGTAGAGCTGCAGTGTGGTCTTTTAGCATTTTTACAACAATACATCTATTGTTTAAAAGAGTGAACATAAAACCACTGTAGCTTTTGCCTGCACTTTAAAATGTTTTCATTAAGATGGAATGCAGTTCAGTTTAATATTTATACAAATTGAAACTGACTAAACCAAATCTGTGCATTCATTAAAAGGTAAAACTAAAAAGGCAAAACGTGCTACAGTCATACATATTATGAAATCACATTACCTTCTGGCTGTAAAGTGCTGTCGTCCTCAAATGCGCTTCTCTCTTTAGAAGTCTGTGACTCAAATGTCACCCCCTTTTTAAGTCCTGCTAAAAACAGGCGGGGGGTAAGATGCATAGGTTCACTTCCCCACTCCTGCTGCTTTCCCTAAGTTTCATTTCACATTAAAAGCAAACAGGAGGTTGCTCAACAGTGTCTTGTCCCAACTTGTTTGAGGACAATGGCTGTCCCAGTTTTGTAGAGAGACCCATATTAAATGGCAAGACTCAGAAAATAGGAATCAAGCTTTTACTCATCCCACCAAAAACAGTACATACAATATAATCAAATTTTCACAAAATGTCCTTCGAATAATGTTGAGATTTATGAAGAATAAAAACAGGCCTTTAGTTATTCTACTGAAAATAACTTTGTGGTGTGTACAGAATGATAACATGGAGCAAAGGGGGAAAAAAAACCTCCTGACCTTTTGAGAGTGTGCAGTATGTGCATGAAAATGTTTTCTTTATGGAAAAAAAACTCACAGTCTGACAAATTCATCTTTTGTACATTCATTAGAAGAAAGGCTACAGTGCTGTTGAGGGCCACCTTTGGCCTTGGAAGGAAATGATCCACCACAAGACATGCTGGCATTGTCTGTTTCGACTGGCACTTTCTCAAAAACCCGAAACAGGACCACATTTTACAGTCTCAGCCCCATTGTTCTATTTATACTGAGGATGATCCTTTAAGGGTTAGAGTTTTAACAAACTCAATGAGGAAACAGCGAGTACAGTTACTTCAACAGTGACTGGATTGTAAACAAAATAGTACAACAGTGCAGTGGCCTCAAAAGCAAGTCTCTCAGTCTAAATGAACTCCAAGCCTTCATATTTCACGTCCCCAATCTTGGTTTCAGGTAAAAGGATGCGTCCGTCAAGTGTGAAGGCCATGATGTACGTGGCAATCTTTCCGGCGTCTTCCTCCGACTTGAGTGCCAGAATGATCTGGTCGTCCGTATTGGGGACAAACTTGAAGGAGGAGAAACCGTGAGTGGGGTTAAGAGGACCCACTCGACTTACAATGATGTCTTTGAAATCTGGTGAGCAGCTGAGGACGAGGTTCGTGGCGCGGCGCTCGTCCGCTGTTTCCTCGTAGCGCTCCTTGCTGGCGCGGCGAGGGAGGAAAAACCAGCGCTGCAGGGTGTTGCTCCACGCCGCTGACTCATGGATGAGATACCCTGCAGAGATTGAGAGGGATACGGTGAAGAGTGAACGGAGATGAAAGAAACGGAGGCGATCGTGAGCAGGACCAGATTTAAATCCTCACCTGGAGGCGCTATCCCTGCGGCAGACTTAAGAGATTTGTACTTGGGAACCCAGTTCTCATGCTGTACATCCCCTCTGAAGCCCACTACTTTCACCCACTCTGGGTTGTTGTTGACGAACTCTCCTTCAGTGGTGGTCCACTCTTTCCCCAGACCGCCGACGTACAGGCGCTTGTCCTTCACTGCCAACCACTCAGCTTTGAACCCTGTCAGGAGAAAGTACATAAGTACATTAAAAGTACCTATTAAACATAAAAATACTCTAGTCCTGCCCCTTCTTAAAATATTTATGTTGCAGAAAAATGGCTGTAACTGATGTATTTGTCACACATAACTAGGGGAGCGAGATGATCAAACAAACAAAGCTCTGCTACTGCTTCGAACCTTTTTCGGCCTTCTTTTATTTAAATGAAACCATGTGAAAAGATCAGAGGGGAAATCTCTGTTAATTAACAACTCGTCTGGAACGTGAAGAGGAACTGGAGTTTGTGGCGGTGTCACAAGACCAAGCTACTGTATTTTAGAGACTAATCTGAAAAGCAACAAGTAAAGAGAGGTGTCAAAAAAATCAGTGGGGTAAAAAGTACAACATGTCCCTATCAAGTAGCATAAAATGGAAATACTCAAGTTAAATATTGAATTACAACAAGTGTGGGAACAGGGTAATGCCAACCTTTGGCAACGTTGCCGTCGCCGTCAGTTAAGATGACCCAGGGCACAGCCTTGTCGCCATCAATGTGGTAGACTATGCCTGTCCTGTCGTCGACGCTGTAGAGCTTCCCATTGAACACCACCAGCTCAGACAGCTCCATACCCCTGCCCTTCTCCGACAGGTGGCTTTCCAGCACCACCCTGTCCGTGTCCCACTCAACTGCTACCTTGTCACCACTTTGGGACACCAACAGGTACCCCCGCCGCATGTAGCTGAACCATGTCAGCTTCTTGTCACTGCGAGAGCTCGTGTCCAGGTCGGCAATGACCCCAATGCGGTAGCGGGTGCCCTGCGGCGTCTGCTCCGGCGGACTGAGAGGGTAAGTGTCGTTGTAGCGAGAATCGGATTGCTGGGTGTCGACGTGACCGGCTCTCCAGCCGTGCGAGCCGTAGGAGCGAGAGCGCAAGCCTGAGCTCAAGTGCATGAAGAGCAGCAGAAGCAAGGCCAGGGAGAAGGCCACCACCACGATGGGCTTCCACTTCAGGCGGAAACGAGGGTCGGTGGTGTTGGCCATGGAAGCCAACATAGGGAGGCCTCCTACAGAGATACGCAGATTGTTCATAGGCTCATTCTGCTCCTGTCGAGTGAAGCCTGGGTGAGCAGGCATGGAGGACGGAGGTCTGGAGTGACCTAAAGGAAAATAAAGACAGACAGTAAGTCTACTTGTATAACACGAACAGGGCAGCAGCAGGCTGTCAGACAGAAAAGATAACGATTGACATGTGATCGCCACTTTACCGACTGACAGGTTGAACGAGTCTACTTGACTACAATGTCCTACATTTAACCATTGCTCTACAAGTAGGTACCAGCAAAACCAGTTCCGTTTGTCCTAAAGAAGATGTCACGTATTGTTCCTTCCAAAGTCAAATTTACATACTGTAAAGACACATTTTTCAAGTTCTAATCCTGTGCCCTTGTGTTAATTACTCACTTATTTATTGTATTTTGAGTATTTATTATTATTATTATTATTATTATTATATTATTAAAACCTCACTTGACTGCAGGGTAGCTAGCAGAGCAATATCTAGTGACAATAAAACAACACAGTATCCAGTCTCAGTCTCTCCGGAGAGAACGTTTTTTTAATTTCTCCTCTAATTGAGAACGGTGTCCTTGGGCTTTGCCTCTTGTGTGTTAGTTAGCAGTCTGTCCTACTTCCTGGTTCCCATGGTTGAGGAGGTTGTCTGGCTCGGGTCCTCTGAGGACCTGATCTGTTTGGTGACATCTGGAAGTTGCTCGAAAATCCCCCTGGATCCGTATTCTTTATTTGTGCTATAATTTTGTCATCCTAGAGTGTCCATACTGTAATTTTACTGTTGGTCTATTTCTCTATATATGACATCTATTACATGTATATCCATCCTGGGAGAGGGCCCCTCCTCTGTTGCTCTACCTGAGGTTTCTTCATGTTTTTTTCCCCATGTTAAAGAGTATTTTTTTTTTTCTTTATTAAAATCGAGGGTCTAAAGATAGAGACATACTTGTGATTTGTAATATTGGGCTATATATAGAAAACATGACTTCAGCTCCTGAGCTCCGCATCTCTGAACATATATTTGAATAAAAGTATCTCGTTACTAATCCCTCGCCCATTTCACTCGGTAAATGTCACACAAGCTTAAGATCCTCTGATATCCATGAGAATATGTAACTTTTTGCTGAACAGTAAATGCTATATAACATAGTGTAACATACTTGACCAAATAAGGCAGTAGCATGAAATTTAATGGAGCAGTGGTGTGATATAACGCTTATGAATACAAGTGTTATTTCTTCTTTTAAAAAGTTACATAGCCTTTAACTTGGTAATTTTTCCTCAAGTACAATCCGACATTTAAGTTTGTGCCGGTTTATTTTTAAAAGGTACAAGCCGTAGTAACTTGAACCGTACAGATCTGGCTGGAATATAAAGCTATACTGATTCAGTTGCAGGAAACATCAATGAGTAAAAAGTACGCATTATTAGACATTTAGATAATAAAACTCAATCTTATATCCTACTCACATACTCTCCATAGGTAGACTCTACATCAAATCTGTAGTCCAGAGGTAACTAGGAGATTTTCGAATCGGCCTATATTTTCAGCTTTATTTGAATTCTGGTAAGAGCTCAAACAAGCGAATGAATGCCGGGTTAAACATTGCAGGACAAGAAGCAGGAAGTAGCCCGGCTTTAGGTTGGGTCACTATCAGGTGCACAACCAACACTGCGTTGTCAACGTGGAGGCTGGGAGGAGCCCATTCAGTGACAATGAAGGGAAGGCTGCTGTGGACAGGTAAATCAGGAAATACACAACCAGCCAGATAATGCAGCCCCACTGTCATGTGATTAGATAGATAGATAGATAGATAGATAGATAGATAGATAGATAGATAGATAGATAGATAGATAGATACTTGATTTATCCCGAGGGAAATTCAAGTACGAGTAGGATTAGTCCATCAACAGAGAATTAATCACTAAACACTTCTGTCCTTTATGGCCTGAACTATTAAAAAATGGGCTTTTTATTTCTTTCTTTACAGTGTATTGAATATTGGTGAGTTTTCTGCCGAGATGCACCATAAAGCGGCACAGGAAGTCATTCCCGTCTGTGGCCATCAAACTCTTTAACTCCTCCCTCAGAGTGTCAAAACTCTGAGTCATTAGTCATTAAACTAGTTCTGTTAATGTGCAATAAGTCAACAGAAGTGCAATACCCAGGTCAATGTGCAATACACTTCAATATTATGTCATTCTTGTAATTATTCAGTAATTCTTTGTAATTATGTATAACTTAAAGCTCATTGCTATTTAATTTCTGTTAGCTCATACTATGGAATATGTTTACAATTATATTTACTTTGTTTACAGGCTCTTATTATATCTCTTAGAGTCTTATTTTATTTCTATTTTTATTTTTACTTATATGTATAGAACTAGACATATATTTCTATTCTATATATTGTAATATAAGTATTATTTCTATTCTTTAACGATGTGTGAGTAGAACAACTGTAACAAACAGATCCCCCCCCGATCAATACATTTATTTGAACTGATTCTGACTTTGGACTATTGGTCGGATAAAGCAAGACATTTCCCTATTTTCTGACATTCAATAGGCAAAATAATTAGAAGAAATAATATAATAATAATAATGAAAATAAATCTTAGTTGCAGCCTCAGTTCACTTAAACAAATGAATTTTAACATACTGATAAAGAGTAAATTACACAAAGGGCACAGACACTTAAGTTTAGCCCCTGAAAGGTGGATAAGAGAAATATTTTACTCATAATAATACAGAATTTAAGCAGAAAGCGAAACCTGGATTCCTCATATTTGCCCAATAAACTAATGTGACCTCATCTGTCTGTTGCGCTCTACACTTGGAGGGTCACCGCAGGCTCTGTAGAGTAGAAACTGTGCTCTACCTGCTCCGAGGCCAAATAAATTCCAGGGACCTCTAAACTCTGTGGCCTACACATGGCTGCATTTCTCCGAAAAAGGAGTGCAGGAGCTGAAAGCCTCTTTCATAAGAGGGCCCCGAGCCAAACAGCAGTCCATTGTGGCAGCAACATCAGGGCCCTACTCTCTCTGAAACACACCAACAAGTGGCAGCTTTTAATTAAATTAAAATGCTTTTTAATACAAAACAGATTCTGACACACTGAATCAAAATAACTGAACGGGCTTACCCCTGCGCCTCCTCCTGCCAGAACGCTGAACCTGTGTCATGAAATCTACCTGGCCTGTCCTTTAAAGCAGACCTCCACAATCAGTCCCGAGCTCTGTGCTTCTACTTCTGCTCGCAGATTATTTGCAGTGCAACCATGACTGGGGCTTGTTACAATGAGAGTGAACTTTAACTACACTTGGAGGATTACGGATCCAGTCCAAAGGGGAAAACCTTGCAGGTTAGCAAGACAATTCATTAAGTTATCATTCATCAAAGTGGCCTTTGAACTGCTAGGTCCCAGGTACCAGAGGTTAGGAAAACATTTGTTACCTGCACAATAACTCTATCTGCACAAAAGGGGAAAATCCTGCAGGCATGAATAGAAGTTAAAAAACAAACCTGCAGTCGCTACAAGAATTTGAATCCTACATAATAGAGCTAGAGCTGTGATGCAATCAGTACTCTGACTGGGCTGAGGCCAGAGATCAGTCACACGGTCAACAGGGAACCCAGACTTACTTTTAACTCTAGGAACATCTGTTAATAACTGATTTAACTCCTTCTGGGCTTTAGTTCAAAAATATGTAGTTGTTGTTGTTTAAGAAGTGAAATATTAATCAACAGGCAACTCCGCCCCCAAAGGTTTTAAATAGTTTAAAATGTTGCACAATGAAAGGACATAATAGATAGATAATATGTTTAATATGTCACTATATTTGTATCAATACCGCAATCTAAAATGACATATACTTCTATTTTTAGAAGTCATTTTCTCCATTAATCCTTTAGTCATACGTGCTTTGTTCAATCACGAGTCCAAAACCAAGGAATATTCAATTAACAATATACATAAAACAAACTAAAGAGGAAAATCTTTACATTTGAGCAGCTGTTTTTTTTTTGTCCATTATGATTATCAACACTGGCCAATTCATTTTCTGCTGAGCAACTTATCAACGAATGGACTAATTGCTTCAGCTAGGATGGAAAAAATAATAAAATAAGCAACTTCTGAGCTTCTCAAAGTGGTTCTCTAACACATCTTGCGCAACGAGGAGACACAACAGTGCCTTACTTCCCCTCTGACGCAAAGGCCCGGGACAACGGTAGGTAGAGCTTCTTGAGATAAAACCCTAACACCATAAAGGATGACATCTGGGGAGGTCGGCTTCAAAGGAGACAGATCAAGGGTGGAGAGAGTGAGTGAGTGAGTGGTGTGTGTGTGTGTGTGTGTGTGTGTGTGTGTGTGTGTGTGTGTGTGTGTGAGGCCCATAAATAGCTCACTTATTGCTGTGAGGCAGATTCCCCAAACTTCTGCATGTCAAGCCTCCCCCTTTCCCCGAACAGATGTGCCTGACTATGGATCGTGGTCTTATGCTGGTTTTAATCCAATGAGAAGATGCTGTACGATAACTAGATCCACAATAGTGATATTAAAGTATTACTCATTGAGTTAAAGACCACTGGGACCACCTCAAGAGGGCCTGGGACACTTTTCATACACCACTACAGCTCTGAGCTCCAAACAATCACCTTCATCATGTTTGTCTTTGTGGAGTCATATTTTGTTAAGGAAACACATCCCATCTGCAGTGTGTGTGTGTGTGTGTGTGTGTGTGTGTGTGTGTGTGTGTGTGTGTGTGTGTGTGTGTGTGTGTGTGTGTGTGTGTGTTAGCTCATGTCCCTGTACCCTGCCAGCAGCGCAGAGGTTAACGCAGATGCCATCACAATCAATCGATGAGGCGACCGCGCAACCTTCGCGATCCAGCAGGGCCCCCTCGTCGCGCTCCGTACTCACCGCAGACGTTAGATGTTCCGCTCGCAGTCCGCCACCGGTTGGAGCTCAGATGTCATTATTGCGTCGCTTTTTTCCTTCGGCTTCTTCTCCTCCGCTCCCCGTTGAACAGACAGCCGATCATTACTTCCTGTATCTACTGATGACGACAGCGTCGTGTACCGCGTGCGCGCAGTGGATAGCGCGGTGCCTTCAAGTGCCGTCGGGAACTTTGGCAACTATCAGAAGTATCACATTTATATGTGAAAGTAAGACGTAGTAAATTGAGTTCTCTTTATTTTGAAGTTGTAGTAGATGAATATACAGTAAATAATCTTCTTCCCACAATAAAAAAATAAAGAAACCTGCACGTAAATGTTTATTTCAGCATCCTTTGCTCTCTGCACCGTTGCACTATTTTCTACTGTCTACAAATGGTATTGGTTTTTGTTTGTTTATATATGTATAAGGTTTAAATTCCTTGTATGTGTCCACATACCTGGCCAATAAAGGTGATTCTGATTCTGATAATAACTTAAAGTTGCAGTAGGTCACTTTTGTAAAAAAAATAATAATTCAGTGTCCTGACAGTCGTACAATGCAACAGATAATCTGTGAAAAAAATCAGGTTGTTATGGCTCCTTCTAGCACTCCTAATGGCATTTGTAAGAATCCACCGGGCCTGGACGAAAACAACCAATCAGAGCAGAGAAAGACAGAACTAGGAGGTCTTGAAGGATCTGTGCTTGATGCTTCTTTCATGGCTCCGATTGGTTGCTTTCATTCAGACTCAGTGGATTCTTGCAAACACTATCAGGAGCACTACAATGAGCCAGGGGAGCCTGATTTTCCACAGATTATGTGTCTCGTGTACTTCTGTCAGGATATAGTGAAAGTTTCAGCAAATATGACAAAAGAAATATTTTTGTAAAAATGACCTACTGCCACTTTAAAAACGTATTATCTTTTTATCGTGACAAAGTTTTTAAAAAATGTATTTGGGAAGATCAGAAATGTAGAATCAGTTACTCTTTTGAGGGGCAACACACAGACAAAGACATGAGGCTGCAGAAATTGAGTTGTTTTTGGAAATCAGTGTTATTGAGGTTAATATTAATCCATGTCTGTATCTTTTAAAAGCTAGGTGTGATCTTTTTCCTAACATAAAGTCCAGGAATATGATTAGTTTGCAAAGAAATGTATTTAGTCATGGAAGGAAAAGGCTCCTATAATATGCTTGAAGAAAAGTTATTCCTTGATCAATTATCACAACAATGGATAATATATATTGGAGAAATTAAGCCAAGAGAGGCAAAACTGTGGGTTATTGTTAATAGTTTCTTTTTGATTGTTTTATAAAAGAAATTTGTATGGGAAGAATCAGAGAAATGTATGTCTTACATACATTTTGCAGAGCTTCTGCATCTGCAAATGGTGAAACTGATTCTGCAGTTTTTAATACAATAAATGGGAAATGTGGTTTTCCAGACCTCACTAAATGTTTTGGTAAAAAGTAAATCAGTTATAATCTAGACATGGTGTAGTTGTAGAATTTAATCTTTGTTTAGTTCTTCTGTAAAGTTTGCGTACTGTATATTCTATTGTCTCAAAGTCATTACGGTGCTCTCCCCACAGCTCCCACACCTTTACTACTCAAATATTTGCCAAAGGAGCACAGCCCGGCAGAGTCCGGCTCATTCTTTAGAAGATGATACACACTGTGGGCTCACCAAGATGTTGAAAACAAGAACAGTTTTTATTTGGCAAACCCTGCGTGATACAGAATACTGTACAAGGCACTTTAATGAGCAATCATTGTAAAGCCACTGAGTACAACAGTGAAACTGCCACTCATGTAAAAGGTACAACTACAGTGTGAGAAAAGCAAGAGGAAAAAGCAATGTAGAAAACAATTACTATTTGATTGTCATATCCCTGGACTGAAAGGTTTAAGATAATAAATATATCAATTTACCCCAATCAATGAATTCCTGAAATCTAATTATGGCTGAAACAGTTGCTGAATGGGATGTTTTTTTTAAAAACTGCACTCAAGTAAGGCACGTTAAACATCTACAGAGGAAGCCGATATAAATGAATGCTTTGGCTACCCTTAAAACAAAACACCCTTAAATATTAAATGAAACATTAAAATTAACAATCTTAGATCAGATATTGGCAATTACATGACCCAAAGTAATGGACTGTGTTTTTCAGTGCATATGCGCCATTTTTCAGTGGTTGATTATTTAGCGATTAAGACACAAACACATTACAGTAGTTAGGGAACATGTTCGATGCACCCACTGATTAAATATTATGGGTTTGTTTTGTTGTTTAATAAGTGTTTCACTTACATTACGGTTGTTGAACTGCTGTATATGAATCTGAGAGTAATGGAAACTTATTTATATGTACTAAACAGTAACATATTCATAAAAAAAAAAAAATTCAATTGTTCATCTAAATAAACACTCAAATTGCACTCAAAAGTGGAAACAAAAAAAAAAGGGGGCTCTGAAATAACTACAGTTGATTTGGTACAAAGACAACAATGGCGTGGCCATACTCTCTTACCAACACAATCTTCTTCTAACAAAAAAAAATATATATTTCACCTGCTGTGCATGGCACTCTGAACAACACAGCAAACATCCACCAAACGACTTACGACCATGAAACAAAAACAAAAAAATCAGTGCCCCCACAAATATGCAAACACGTTCTGCAGGAAGAAAAATGGGAGTGCAGAGATCAGTCTGTAAATGAAACCATTGGCACACATCTTTATTTAAAAAAGAAAACTCCCCTGTTGGATTCACGCATTTGAATCTCAGTCCTTCAGTAAGTTGGAGGCTGGTACTCTCCTGGTTGCTCCTGGCTTTGGGGGAAAGGCGACTGCTGGTAGCCTGTGGGGTACTGAGCAGGCGGGTATGGAGTGGTGTGGTCGTTGGCTGGGTCTCTGTACTCCTGGTCAAACTCACTGACGCCTTGGCAATACCTTCTGTACGCAAAGTAGGACAGGAAGGCCTGTTGAGAGAAGTCTAAATTAGTAAGTGGACTTTCCACCAGCTCATTTGTGGGTTATCGTGTGATTTTGTTAGTCAAATGCTGGTCACACGTGGCAACGTGGGAGACGAGAAGCTCACCCAGGTGGCGATGGAGAAGAAGGAGAAGGCAATGACAGCCCGGGCAGCATCGCCAGCGCCGGCAAGGTCGTTGCTGGTTTTGGACCACTGGTTGGCCAGGACACAGAAGCAGATGAACCACAGGAACGTCCACACCGCTGCCCCGTGATAAAAATGTCAAAGCAGAGAAATAAATAAGGTTTAACAACTAAACACAATGACAGCATTAACTGCAACTACAGTGCACTTCCTGTTTCTGGGGCACAGTTCCTTTATTCGAGTGTAAGCAGTCTGCAGTGAAACCTGACTCTCACCTGAGAAGACCAAATCTCCTATAACGATTAATTTTCTCTCTTTGGCATTGCTGATCTGCGGGAAGTAGGCATCCAGTATGAAAAAGATGACACAAGCCAAGAAGGCCAGGACCCCGATTCCGACCCCGTAGCTGCAGGCGCTGTCGTTGTTGTTGAACATGCACTTGGTCTCATCCTTGGTCGTCGGGTTGATGTACCCTTCTGCTGTGATGGTTGCAAAGACCACAATGGAGAATAACTGCAAAGAAGGGACACAAAGGATTAATGCCACAGGGAGGTGGTGGGGGGGGGGATGCATGTTGGGGCCATGTGATTCTTATCACATGATTCACATTACAAGAAAGCTTTCACCATAAAATAAAAACAATTTAAAAACAGCCAGTTGAGACAAGTGGAGCTGAGCAGATGACGCTGGAAAAGTTTCAATTCCTGATCTCTTTGAACACTGTAATAAAAAAACACAAAAGAGCGACATGTTCTGTGGTTCTGAGTGACCCTTGTTCCTGATCCACTTTCCACACAAAGTTAATACAATGACAAGAAAAGCAAAATCAGCAACAATTGAGATAAATGAGTCATCTTCAATGTAGCCAAGCAAATAGGATTAAATATTATATCCTCAAATGTAAACGGTTTGCTTGCTTCTCCGCGTTTTAAACTGTTAACTGGACCAAAACCAAGACACCTGAGGACGTCACCTTGAGCTCTCACACCTACTTTTTGTTTCCAAACATTGAATCAATCTTACAGATTAAATGTTTTACTTTTTTTTTTTTCTTTTAATGTCTTACTTCCTCCTCCATACCAAAGATCCCTTAGATACTTACATAGATATAATAATAATCAAGAAAGGAGGAAGACTTTGTTGTCTGAGCTCACTGGAGTTTGAAAGGACTTGTCTGAAGACATAAAGGAAACTAACTCTATCTTCTTTACAAAACAGTCCTTTTTAAAAACTTTTAGTGATTAACCAATAATTTCCATTGTTTTAACTTAGTTCAATTTATATATATATATAGTCTTATTTTAAAGCACCTTGTAAATGCAGTTTTTGAAGAGTGCAACATAAATAAAAGTGCATTATAATAATTGTTCCACCATACAGCTCAATCTACCTGTATGGTGGGTTCACGCATTTAAAAACAACTGTGCAGAGAAGTGGAGCACAACAGATGACGCTGGGAAAAGTTTCAATTCCTGGTCTTTTTCTCAAACCACCAAACCTTTTATAAGCTTTAACTCTTCCAGGTGCACTTTAACCAACCAGAGAAACCAACAATAATAACAAACAAATCCCAACATCAGGTGGGAGAGTGGCAGTAAGTGCGGTGACACAGCACCTGGCTCATGCTAGCTTGACGTTAGCCAATATCAACAAGTGCTAAAGCGAATAAAATCTTAATTTTCACTTCACGTTAAAATGTTTTTGAGTTTTCAACCGAACCCCCGGTTCATGCACACTGTCGACACCTCGGAAAGCTAACAAGGTGTACAATTTACCAATTTGCGTCGACACTGGCAGGTCACATCTGTTAACTTAAGGTAAAAGTCGGTGATGTGACAGCTGGCTAACTTTGATGCTAACGTTTCCGTGTAGTGACTCACCCAGCTCAGGCAGCGCAAAATGGTCTGAGGCTGCTTTATAAAACTCTCGATATCAAAAGCACCGCCAGCCAACGAGGCACCGTAAGCACTGCCCTGCATCTTTTCCACCCCAACAAAAACTAAACAAAACGCCTGTCGAGCAATTTAAGGCTGCTAAAGTCTCCTGTCAAAGTTAGGGAAAGTTTCGTTTTGTCAGACAGCTTCCTGACAACTTCTCGAAGACCGCCCCTGCTGTGGTGCGTTCAAGCGCTCCTCATGAAAAAACCCGCGCCACCGAGAAGAAAGTGCCGTAGTAATATTCGTGGTGCGTTTTTCAATCGGAAATATTAGGGGGAATGCATCTAAAAATAAACATTTTAAACGGCCTTATGTGTTTGTAACCTTGTGAAGCAAGAGTGGCTTTAATTTACTTTTGGAAAATAAAACATTCCCAGTACATAGTGTTTATTGCAGGGCTGTTTATTTTACAAGGTGCAAAGGTTCATATTGTTTGATTGTAGGCTACATTATATTCAGTTGAGCTGAGTTGAGTTGATTTGAGTTAACTTTGTTGCCATTACAAAAGTAATATGCAAAAGACACATATGGGGAATCCAACACAACCGACTAATAATAAACTAATTTTATTTTCATAGAATACCCTCAATAATACCTCTACAATAATCAGAATAAACACACCTACAGTTAAAGCATGTGGAGCGGTAGTCTCTTACTATAATAACAAAAACACTGAATATTTCACAATAATTTGGTTGCCCGTTTCTGTTGGCATCTTTTGGTAACTTTATTTTGACAGTATTCACTAGACATTAATATGTTATCAGGTCTAAAAGCTGAAGTCTGAAACCTTCCCAAGTATATGAAATACATTACATTCCAATAATAATATTGTTCATCATTATTTTACTTTAGACTTGCTTTTACTGATCTGAACTCTGTTTTTTTATTTTTTATTTTGTAAATGTTATGTTTAGTGTCTTCTGTTTTTTCCAGTGTTTTTGCTTCACTACTACGACATAAACACTGGGTTGGCTAGTTAAACGTTGTGTTGAAGTTCCTCATTATGGCCACTAGAGGGCAATGAGCACTCATTATTCTGAAGGCCCAGGTCTACTCCAACTAGCTTCAAGACAGACACAATGCCAAGAAGTATTCTATAATTTTTGATGAAAGTGTATCATTATTATTATTATTATAACATGTATTACTTATTAATTTACCATGTCCCTTTGGACCCCCCCCCCCCCCATAAAAGGCATATCATAGATCCTTAAGTGATTGCACTTCATCAGATGCAGACAGCTAACTTCGTATCAATTGCAAATAAGGCACAGCTGTGCGCAGAGAGAGTGAGAGAGATAGAGGAAGTGACTATGTTGTGTTTTTGACTGTCAAGAATAGACTGCAACAATGTAAGCGTTAAACCATTGCTCTGTGGCCTACTGTACTGCACTGTTTGCATCAAACAGAGAAACCTCACGGACCATGGCCCACGGTGTGAGCTTCAGTGTCAACATTTGTCAAATGGATTCTGACTATGAGTAAGTTTATAAGATTTCATTTTAGAGTTGCTTTACTTGTTGTTTAGGTGTACGCGGCATTTCCTCTGCATCCTCCTGCTCAGGTGGGCTAATGCACTTTGTTTTAATTTTGCACTGCACATAATGTAGCTGCTACCAGTGGAATAAATGTATCAGAATGTGTTACTAAACTGTAGTTTCATTTTCTATGCTGTATATAATTCACACACATCTTCATGATGTTCGTTCAAGTCCACGACGGACAGATCTTTTTCAGTGCTTTCACAGCTAAGTCTTCCAACTTTTGAGGCTCTTTTGTATTTGAAACTTGAAATCAGTCAAGCTTTAAAGTATGTGAGTTCTGTAAAATGATCAATTGCCATGGAATAATTACATTAAATTACAACTTGTCGTATATACATGCTGCTCCACTGAGGGCACAAAACCTTTGGGACTCTGAGTCATTTCTTCTGATGGCTACTTTTCCTCCAGTGACCTCGGAGAAGGTGATCCAGGTCAGAACTCCTTCCAGCTCGTTGAACAGCCAGCAGCCCACACCAATAAATCTCCACAAAGGGATGATTTTAGGGAATGCACAGGTACAAATACACAATGTCTGACGTTAACTGCCACTGCGGTTTCATTTGTAACATCTATAATTGTTTTAAATGATTAAAAAAAATAACATTTACTGCTGATTAGACAATGCAATTGATGGCCACATGAGAGGCGAGACACTTGACAGGGAGCAGGTGTCCTCTCTGCAGAGGAACCGCTGGTCAGCTGCTACCCTAAAGGTCCTCTCCTCAATGCCAAGTCGCACTGAAGGTGAGGACAAACCTTTCTCTACTGTCTAACTGTTGAGGGTGTTCATTTAAGAACTCTAACATTTATATTCCTTGTCCACACAGGGCCAAATAGTGCATTAATTTCCCGGCGTACCAGACGCTCAGGTCAGTCTCAGCTACACCAACACCAGACCTCCTCCCATGTCTCTCCCCACACCTCCAGAACAATCCAGGAGGACACTGTCCAGGCAGATATGGAGGAAATCAGTACTGAAGGTGGACTAAAAAATGCCAAAGCACTAATTGCTCCGAATATTAGACAACTGCAGCTGTCAGCAGATCGGGTGCAGCAGATAATTTGGTGTTTCCTAACTTTTGGTTTACAGAAAACAAGAAGGAGCAGTTGGTGTCCAACCTCCGAGGCCTCTCAGCGAGTGAGGGCATGCGCAAGCTGCGAGCCATGCCTCTTAGCCTGGCAGATAAGATGGAAATCAGGTAAATGAGGCACTGAAAAACCTTCCATGACCGGCAAAATGCAGCTGCTACCACTGTAAACACCTTCACCTATCTTTTATTAGGCGACTTGCTTTCAGCGGCGTAGCAGAAAGTTCACTCTTCAGCAGAAATATCCCATGCTACAGTCATCTAAGCATGTACATCTCAAGGGTGAGTACAAATGAAAAGGTATAAACAATTTTTTTGCTTGTGTGTATCAGTCATACACTGTTTTCCTGCCCTCAGAATTGGCGTCACTGCCTGTTCAGATGCCTCCCCATCCTCAGTTCCCTCCAGCTGTGGCATTCTCCCATGAAGAGACTGAGTGGACGTTTCGGAACCGGGGTGCTCTCGTACTTCCTGTTTCTACGGACCCTCCTGCTCTTTAACCTCCTCCTCTTTGTCATCAACGGCCTGTTCCTGGTCTTCCCTCAAGCCGTCAATCCCCCACCCCTTTATGACTCTCATCTGGACACTTTCACTGGCCTAGACCTTCTCACAGGCACGGTAAGATGGCTGTATGTTACATCAGGAGCAGAGCATACATGATTATTTCTCCCTTGTCAAATAGGGATGTAAAAATACACTCAATTTGATATAATTCATGATACTGGGTTCACAATAAGATTTTCTCATGAGACTAGAGACTGAAAAAGATTCCTTTATAATACATTTTGTCTTATATTTTATTACAGAAATGATAGAAATCATATAATCTTGTTTATTTCTGAGGTAGGATACACACTGTGCGAAACAATGAATACTTAATTTCCTTTGTAAAAGGAACTCAAACAAAGTCAAAATTAGATAATACCTTCTGCTGTTTAAATAGATGCCACAATTCACTTTTCACTTTTTGAATTTTCACACATTTGTATCGTGTTTCAACTGTCTCATGCCATGTCTTTACATTCTGGCAGGGTTATCTCTCTCAGAGTGTGATGTTTTACGGCTACTACAACAACATCACCATCAAAACTGGCAAAAAAAACAGCTCCTCTGTTGGATCACAAGATCTGCCGGTCTGTGCAGAAGTCAAGTCCCAGACAGTGCCGTACAGCATGCCTGCAGCCTATTTCTTCACCATCGTTATCTCCTTCATCACTGTTTGCATCATCCTGGTGCACAGGTTAGACAATAAGTGAATTACTTTTGCTTTCATTTTCTTTTGGCCCATCTGCTGTGTGTATTTTATGGCTATATCGTTCTCCTGCAGCATTTCCACGTCCGTTGGGAGAAGCTATTGTGTCCTCAAGTCCAATGGGGATCTGCCGGCAAAGGTTTTTTGCTCCTGGGACTTTAAAGTCAGCAAGAAGATGTCCGTCCGACTTCAGTCTGAGAAAATCAGCACTCAGCTCAAAGTAACTCAGTCATGTGAATATTTAATTTGACTCACTTTTATTTCAGAAGCATCCGTGTGAGCCATTTAAAACATACAATAAACTGGCTTCTTTAAAAGCATTTAAGGCAGAGGCGTTGATGACTCAGTGTTAGATATCTGCTGGTCACTTTGTCACACTATAGTTTGGTTTTCACACAGGAAACTGTTTAAAGTCTCTCATTAGCTTAGAACTATGAACACATTTGGGGAGTAACAGATTACATTTAACAGAGTAATGTAAACTCAAATACAAAACACAGTAACTGTAATCCATTACAGAATACGGATTCAGATTACAGTTGTATTTTGTAAATTATTATTAGCTGGGTTATCATTTTTAAAATAAGGATCAATATACCACCATGCACATGTGGAGTGCACACATTACTACGCTTCATGAATGAAACCACAGCTAATCTTACAGTTGCCAATTCATTATCACGGCCTTTAACTTGAACAATGTCAGCATTATTTTGTCTTTAAAGCAAAGTAAAATAACAGTTAAAGTAAATTTTACTCTTTACTTCAGAGGGTTCAAGGGTCTACAACTAAGAATGAGGGAATTTAATAAAGGCATCATAAACAAGATGCAACCATTCAGTCAACTATTTACACCCTGTAACAGCATCAAGAAGAATGAAACATAACCAAACTGAGATGCTCATGTGTCGATTGGATTGCCATAATAACTACATGTATCAGAGCTATTGATATGTTGATTAACAGAGAGGTAGATCAGGGTCTGCTGGGACTGACTGGTTAAAGTAGGCTCCCCATCATGCACACATATGCTAAAGAAATCAATTTTCTTATAAAGGAAGTATCTGTTATCGTACACCGATGGCGGCTTTCTCAGTTGACAGACTTACGACATAGCTGACACACATGTGCTGATCACAGGTTCACACTGTGAAGATCTTTCAAATGTAGTCGTCTCACACTACAAACTGCTGCCTTTCCAACAGGAGCTGTTATCTGAGATGATCAGTGGGGAAGATGAAAAGAGCTGCATGCAGAGACTCGGCCGCCTCGTAGTGCATCTGATTGCGTGGGCTACATCTCTGGCGAGCATCTCCCTGAGTGCCATGGCAGTCTACCACCTATCAGAGGTTAGAGGAAACAGCGCAACAACTGCTGTGCAGCCAGACATGACAGATATTCTTTTTGCACATTTGAGCAGACATACGGCCCCCAAGTAGCATTTTTCTCAAGACTACCATGAAAATAACGCCTTCTCACCACAGTTTATTTACTTCTGCTTTTTCTTTCCTGGTAAATTTTACTCTGCTGGTGTTTTATGAAACTGCATTGCATGAAAACCCATCCAGAACAATTCTTATTAAGCTATTGGAGGAAGTATGTTGAACGCAGCAGTTCCCTTTGAAGAAATTCTGCCACCATGACAGGAAAATATTATCTACTGGTAGTATTTCACAGATATAACATCAAAAAAATTGACATGTGGTATTCTTTTCATGCATTTTTTCTCGTGATTTGCAAACTCGCTAAATTAAATATGCAAATTAAATCACAGCAGACATTTGACATAGTGATCCTAAATATGAAAAATGGCTCATCTTACCCCACTCTCCCCTATATAAAGTATCAATACTTTTGAAAACCCTAGTTTGCAACCCTCACTGTGATTCGTCCGTCCCTTCACAGGCCACCATTAAGCGGAGTCCATTTAAAGAAACTGAGCTGCTGCTCTTGTCTGCTGTGGTGTCGGGCATTAATCTGTTGCTCCCCGGCCTCTTCAACCTGTGTGCTTGGCTGGAGAGTCATGAGTCACCCAGTGTTCGAGTCTATGTCTCCATCTTTAGGTGAGAAGAAGAACTGTGGAACCACATCATGTTCTCTTCAATTGTTAATTTGCATAAGTGATTTTCACCTTTTTATTTCTTGCCATTTTAAGGTTTTGTATTTTTTTTAAAGGAAAAGGTTTTAGGTACATCTCAGAAGTGCACAATAGTAACCAAAATACACACTGTAGAGAATAGGCAATAGATGAATAAACAGTACAATAATACAATACAAAAAACAAAATATGAAAAGGGCAACACATATATAAAAAAAATCAACCAAACTAAAATGAGTTCCTGAGCATAGACTTGTGAAATGTTATCTCTGGTATCTTTTAAATGTGGAGCGTTCATTGCCTCATCATAAATGTGGATGCTTTATTTATAGTCTACCCATCATAAGTCTCCAAATTCTCCAAATTCACATTTTTATATATTTGGCATTTGAGATCTGTCCCCTAGCAAACACGACAATTATCCATCATCAGTTTTATTCTGTGAGGTTTTATTGTATTGTGAAAAGAAAAATATATTTTTTTCAAATAGAATATCTCATCCATATTTCCCTCAGGAACCTGTTGTTGAAGGTCAGTGTTCTCGGAGTGCTGTGTTTCCGATGGCTTGGAAGAATTGCTGTGGAACCAGAAAGTCGTGGTATACAGGTTACAAACATGTGAATTTCTCATAATTATAGTTGTTTCACTGTGTAATGCTACTCATTCCTAAAAGATTGTGTGTTTGAACACAAGAGGTATTATGCAAAAGGCAAAGTAGCCCCAATGTTAACCCTATTTGAGATTAAATCCTTAAATCCACTTCCAGTAGATTTTTTATATTTATGCCTCTGTTATCCACAGTGTTGGGAGAGCTTTGTGGGGCAAGAACTGTATCGCCTACTCCTGATGGACTTTATCTTCACAGTGCTTTATACTTTTTTGGGAGAGTACTTGTGGAGGCAAGTTGTCGCTTTATCCACGAATAATATATATCTTTTGATTCTGTTCTTACTGTTCACCATTTACTGACTGCTAAGCGTCTTCCCCGTAGACTCTTTTCCAAGAAAGTGCTGAAAAGGAACAGGAAGCCAGTGTTTGACATTGCTCGCAACGTGCTGGAGCTCATATACGGACAAACTCTGATTTGGTAATTGCACAGCATTACACCACCATCACTGAAACACATTATATCTTTGACTTAAAAAAACATTATTAATTAAACATTAATGGTCTTCTTTCCAGGCTCGGGGTGCTGTTTGCGCCACTGCTTCCCGCAGTCCAGATCATAAAACTGTTTGTGCTGTTTTACATGAAGAAGGTTGGTACATCAGGGGTTGTTTCAACGTTACATGCGTCTTCTTAGATTACCGAAACTTAAATTCTTTTCTCGTTTCTCCCTCAGAACAGTCTACTGCTCAACTGTCAGGCGTCAAGAAAACCCTGGAGGGCCAGTCAGATGACTACACTATTCATCTGCCTTTTGTGCTTCCCCTCATTTCTTGGTGCTGCCGTGTCTATCACCTATGCAATTTGGACGTGCGTGCAACAAACAATGTCCCTAAGTTACTGTAATGCCTGCAAGCTGTTTCCACACCAAGGGCATGAGTAAATTCCACAAATTCAGACACACATAGCTTGCTAAAAATGGGTTTTGAACACATTATTCTGACACACGCCATTGTGTTCCAAGAATACACAGCATATTGTACTAGCGTGATAGATTTTAGGTAATGAATGAGAGAATATGAGGTTATAGTCACATTTCGATATCCACAATCCATACTGGCAATTGGGGTTGGTGCCCTGGCATTGCCCTCCTGTACTGTTCAAGAAGACTGTTTCACCAGATATTACCCTTAAAGTATGAGACTATATTCTGTGTTTTTCTTATTGTCACAAATGAAAGTATTTCCTGTGTAGCCAAAGTATGATTGCCTCTATTGTTGTCAAAAAACCCATCACTTAGCCTCACAGCGGGTGACATGTTCCTTCATTACAATGAAAATGGGCACTGTTGGTTGTTTTGAGTAAATTGTGTACTTTTCTGGTGCTGTAAATACAGCTCTAAAGTAGTCCCAAACAAATGCAGAAGAAAAAAAAAAAAATTAAACCTTTAAAATTTCTGACCAATTTTTAAATGAATAGTTTACTTTTGTGAAATACGCTCATTCACTTTGTTTGTAGGAGTTAAATGAGAAGACCGTTACCACTCTTGTGTTGGTATGGCAGATATAAAGCTACCATGAACAGCTGGTTAGGTTAGTTTAGCACAAAGACTGGAAACAGGGGGAAACAGCTAGCCTGGCCTGTACCTTGTACAAAACAAGGTGACAGAATCCGCTTACCAGTACTTGTAAAAACGACAGTTCAAACATCTACAGGGTTTATTGTCAACACTATTTCTTGGCCAGTTGCTGAGTTAATAGTCTTGCACATAACTGCCCGTCAAATGGGAGATTTCCATTTTTGTTCTTCGTTTTTTGTACAGATCCCTGCTTGCTGCTTCTCCCTGTTTCCGGGCTTTGTACTAACATAAGCTCACCAGTTGTTTGTGTGTACTCTTATTTGCTGTACAAAAATAATAAGTGTATTTCCCAAAATACCAAACTTTTCCTTTAAAGATTTATGTCTAGAAATGAACGGGCTCGGGGGTGAGAGGGTAGGAATAGGCTATCAGAACGTATTGAGAGAACGCATTTTTGGTTCTTTTTTATGGGATTTGTTGACCCCTAGATAACCTTTTATCTTCCTTAAACCCACAGTTTGCACTGTTTATCGTCCACAGGATTAAACCCTCGTCGGGGTGCGGCCCTTTCAGGAATCAGACCACAATGTTTCAGTCAGGGCAGCTGTGGGCTCAGCAGCTGGAGAACTCCCACCCAATCCTGTGCTGGCTCAGCAGGGCCTACAATTCTCTGTTGGAGAACCCGTTGTTCTTATTCCTCGCCAGCGGAGTCTTTCTGTGAGTGGTGACATGATCACAAACAAGAACTGTCCAGTTTCAACAATCTTTTGTCATTGTGGTGGCCTTCTTACAACATTTGTGAGCTACTGTATGTGAATACTGTTTATGCTCTTTGAATTTTAAAGAGATTTTGTTCCTCTTTCTGTTTTTTTCAGAATGGTGATATATTTTCGCACTCAAGTTGTTGATGGCCAAAGGAGAATCATCAGGCGGTTAGAAAAGCAAATTGAAAATGTATGCACAATTAAACATTTTTATAAGCAGGACCAAGAGTGTATACAGTCATGCTAGTGGCTCTGTGAGGCGGTACTGAGGCATAGTGTTGTTCACAATCTTAGATTAGATGCTAATAGTTGTTCATTAGCACTAAACACAATTTACAGCTCAAAGAATGTGTTTGCAAGTATTTGGCCATAAACCATATTGGAGAAAGGAAAATTAAGAGATTACAAATCAACCTGAGAAGGACACGGATATCTTAACTAAATGAATCCTAGCAGACAACGAAAGTCAGTAGGATTAATCATCTTGGTATCATGATTGAATCATGAATGTCTCTACCAAATTTCATGGAGATCTATTAAATAGTTATGAACAAAAAGTGGCAGACTGACCAACCAACAGAGCACCATTGCCATCCACAGAGCCATAATTAGTGACACATATATAGTATGTTGATATTAATCTTATTGAGCTTGTATCTTTTTATGATTCAATCAATTTTACTGTGTGTGTATATATATATATATATATATATATATATATATATACATATTTGTTTTTACAAGTAGCATAAAGAGAATTGTGACCTGAACTTCATTATACAATATACCCTGCATTGTAAAATGACACATACATAACATTGTATCCTTGTATACAGGAGGGTAAAGACAAAAAGTTCCTCATCACCAAATTGCAAGCCATTTATGAAGAAATCTGTCTGATTTCCCCTAATAGATAAGGTGGGTAGTCTCAATACCGTATCCTATTTCTGGTTGTTACATATCTCCTTTGTTTTCTCGCCAATTCAATGCCCGATTACACCGTCTTCCATGTAAAACCTTTTCCTCTTCCTTCCCTCCAGTGTAATGGCTGAACAACATTCACAACATAGCGATGGCAAGCTATCATCAGTGACAAGCATCTTCGCTTTAATATTATCTCATCAGTGATCACTTACAAGCTGAGAACAAAAGCAAAACCAGTCAAGTTTGTTATTTTCAAATACATGACAATGCATCACGTTTGGTGAGTTGTTAATGTGCTGGATGACACAAACACAAACTAGGTCTGGCTTTTAGCACTATAATTGAATTATTCTTTTTTTTTTTATACATATGTATGTCAGGATGTGTATATTGTTTATATGTGTTATGTTTAAGTTTATAAATAATAAATAATTAATGTGTTTTTGGCAAGTTTGACAAATAGCAACTGTCTCCTTATCTGGAACCATTGTTTTCATTGTTATCTGAACATGTAAAATTCATAATTACTTACTGTACATATACTGTATTTTATTAAGATTTTGCATTTTTTTTTTGGTATTTCTTGTCAAAAATGGGCTGTAAAAGCGTATAAATGTGGCACATTTACCTTACGTTAAGTTCACCCAGCAGAATAGGAAATAACACACACATATAGTAGACATAGCCTACAGCTATGCAACCTGCTTCTTGAAGCTCTATCCAAAGTTTACTGAGCACTCTTTTCATACAATTTGCTGTCTAAAAATGTATTTGATTACTAGCACAAATACACCACAATGGTGGGTATCAGAAGCTGAACATTAGCTTTTATTGTCACTCCAAAGAGTATCACAGCAGGTCAGACTTCAAAGAAAACGTTCAACATGACTTTATGTAACATGTAACTTAAGTTTGAAAAATCTGTTTGTCAGATACTTTAGTGACAAATAAGTGTTTAGCTGATATTATCTTAAAAATATATCTAAAAGTCAAACTGGAAAAGGTGCAGTACTTTAAACTCAATTTTATTTGAGACATACTGTCCAGATAAGAGCTAGATAAAAGGGATACAATTAAGACTTTTTACTATTTCACTGGTTAAAACAAACACTCATTTTAAAACATTTCACTCATACCACAGAGGCAAAACAAATATAATGAGCTTCCTATTATGTCTGCAGCTCTGTTACCAAGTGCTCAATAATGTCAACAATTCCCTAATCGCATACTGCATGCTGGTTTTAACATTTTTTGTCAAAGCCAGCATGGCTGCTGAACAAGATGGGCAACTTTTTGACCAGTCACTTAAATTTGTTCCAGTTAACTTTACTAGAAAAATAACAGTAGGAGGAGATTTCCTCTTTGCGACATTGAGAGACACACTATATGAACCCACTTCAGAGCAGGTTACTCTCTACTTTGAGTTGCTCTACTTGGAACAAGGGCTTGAAAAAACATTTCTGTAACGACCTCTGGTAAGTGACAGCTTTCTTCATTTCATACTTTATCTGCTGAGAACATTAGATTGTGAATTATGTTCCTAATTGTACATATTATACTTTTGACTTTTGACTCCAAACTCCTCTTCCCTCCAGATAACATGGAAGTGAAGACAGAATTAAAAAATAGAGTGTACATCCGTCTTCCAAAGAAACACATAGCTGCTTTTGCTGAAAATTATGAGCTGGTAAATCATTTCTCTCATTCTTATATTTACAGGAAGCATCACTTGGTTTGATTTTTTTGACCTAAGCTACAATATGCCATGAAGCTCATGATTTTCTATCATTTAACAGGAACATGGATTGATTATAAGAGAGCTGAATCCCTGTATAAATGAAGGATATCTACGAGTTTACTTTAGAGACTGGGGAACCGTCACAGCATGCAAGGTAAAGACTGGAAGTATTGTTTTATTACTGCCTGTGCTTATATATTTGTTGTTGTTGACAATTCTGAAAATCCAGGAGACTTAATTAAACAATTTTCTCTTGATCTCTTGAATTGGATTACAGATTAAGAAGAGCCTCAACAAGGGGGGAAATAAGGCGATGGCCTATGTGAGGTTTTCTACAGAGGATGAAGCAGACAGAGCAGAATGGGCTGGTCCACACTACATTGGAGGCGATGTGGAAGTGAAACGAGTTGTTAGTCCAAAGGTGAGTCACAACAAGTTTTTCTCTCCTTCTGTTAGAGCAGAGCTGGCTTTATGCCTGTTCTCGTAACAGATGAAAAAAGAGAAAACTTCAATTTTGTATAAAGAAATGTAGCAGTATCTGGATTTTAAAAGTGTGCATTGGTTGGCTGTGTCTTTAAGATGGAGGAGGATTCAGAAGAGGGGGTCCCCGCAGTCGCTGATAAACCTAAACTGCGGCGTTCAATGGGTTTGGGCTACATACTGGAAGATGCTCAGTGGTTAGATGATGATGAGATGGATGAATAAACAAATACTGTGCAACTTTTTGTGGACATTAATTTAGAGATTCTAAACTAATAAGCTCATAAAGAAATCAATGGGACTCCATCATCCTCTACAGGCTGCAGGGTGAAAATATTCTTAAGACTAACAATATTCAATTTATAAAGCCTTAATGTGAGTTACTGTGATAAATATTGTGCTGATTTTATGTTGTGAATTGTTATTGTTTACCTTGGGTGGATAATAAAGCTGTTTTCTGTGTGGTTTATTTACACAAATAATTTGACTTTTTATATATATTTATATTCACATCTGTTTTGCCAGTAAAATGCCTTGTATTTGTCCACATACTTGGCCAATAAAGCTGATTCTGAATAATGTTTGTCAAAGTCATTGGCTGTTAAAATATATAATAATATATATAGTACATATAGATATTCGCTCCCTTTCTGCAGCTACTGTTGGTGAATACAACATGATTTTTATTTTATAAATGACATGACACTCTGCAAAATGCCGTACAAAAGTATGTTTTGTACAGAAATGATTAATATTGTGCACATTTTATGTTGTTTGTTTGTTGTTTTTTTTTTTACCCTGGGTGGATAATAATGACTGGTTCTGACAGCTTAATTTTTTTTTGCTCTCAGATCTTTCCTTCCTCTTATGTTGCCTCTTTATTTAAAAGATGGAAGGATCGCACAAAAGAAAGAATAACTGCATAGTCCTATGAAACATATTTTAAAATAGAGTATGTATGTAAACTACAAAATGAGGTAGGCCTATCCATAAATGTAACATTTTAAAAGTAATGTAAATGAATTAGGAAATTATTTTAATATATAAATGTGTGATGTGTGTGTTGCATCTTTACTGTATGTTAAAGGTCCAGTGTGTAACATTTAGGAGGCTCTATTAGCAAAGTATATTACTCATATAGGCATGACTATCCTGAACAGCACTTAATCATACATCTGGGTGCGTGAGTAGTCCTTGTTTTTGATGGACTTCCATGAATAGATGTCCAAACAGTACTTATCTTTGGGTGAGGTTCCCATTTAATCAGGATTTTAGCTTACAGGAAAAATAGTATTTTTATATCGCCAACACACCGTGATGATAAGATGACTGGCGTGGCTGAACATATAATCGTGCGAGCGGTAAAAAAACGTGAGACCTCTCTGTCACCCACGCATGATTAGATTACCTTTTGTACCTGTGCCTGTATAGATTTCCCCTACCATGATGATCTACACTGCCACTCGAAACCGGACATAGGCCACGAATATAAACAGACATAAACACAGCCCTAAATAAGGCGTCCTATAGTATGTTTATATTAGTGTATTATCCCCTGAAAATAAGAAATCGTGTTTTTCCTTATCTTAGAATGAGTCATTTTTATCTACAGAGGGAGCGGGGTCCCCCTAGAACAGACAAACCAAACACTGGCTGTAGACGGGACCTTCGTGTTTCTCGTGATAATGATGTTCAGTTAGTTGCAGGTTTGTTAGTGCAAACGCGTCAGGTGGACTCCTACACACTGGTCTTTTTAGTCTGGAGCTCCATTACCAAGTGCTCAATAAGTTGTCAATAATGTCAAAAATGTCCTAATAGCATAGTGCATTTTGGCTTTAACATATTTAGCATTCCCCCCTGGCTGCTAAACAAGATGGGCAGCTTTTTGATCTGTCACTGAAACCAACCACAAGAAAAAATAACAGTAGGAGGAAGTTTTCCTTGTTGAAGACACTATATGAACCCACTCCAGGGCAGGTTACTCTCTACTTTGAGTTGCTCTACTTGGAACAAGGGCTTAAAAAAACTTTTGTGTAACGACCTCTGGTAAGTGACAGCTTTCTTCATTTCATACTTTATCTGCTGAGAACATTAGATTGTGAATTATGTTCCTAATTGTACATATTATACTTTTGACTTTTGACTCCAAACTCCTCTTCCCTCCAGATAACATGGAAGTGAAGACAGAATTAAAAAATAGAGTGTACATCAGTCTTCCAAAGAAACTAATAGCTGCTTTTGCTGAAAATTATGAGCTGGTAAATCATTTCTCTCATTCTTATATTTACAGGAAGCATCACTTAGTTTGATTTTTTTGACCTAAGCTACAATATGCCATGAAGCTCATGATTTTCTATCATTTAACAGGAACATGGATTGATTATAAGAGAGCTGAATCCCTGTATAAATGAAGGATATCTACGAGTTTACTTTAGAGACTGGGGAACCGTCACAGCATGCAAGGTAAAGACTGGAAATATTGTTTTTTTACTGCCTGTGCGTATATATTTTTGTACAAATTATAAAGATCTAGGACATTTTGTCACCTAATTAAAATCTGTTAAATTGGATTCCAGATTAAGAAGAGCCTCAACAAGGGGGGAAATAAGGCGATGGCCTATGTGAGGTTTTCTACAGAGGATGAAGCAGACAGAGCAGAATGGGCTGGTCCACACTACATTGGAGGCGATGTGGAAGTGAAACGAGTTGTTAGTCCAAAGGTGAGTCTAAAATGTTTCTCTCCTTCTGCTGGAGCGGTGCTGGTTTTATGCCTGTTCTCATAACGGACATAAAAATAGAAATGTAGATTAGCAGTATTTGGTTTTGGTTTCTGTGTCATAATCCGCTGAGTATAAAAATCCTTTCCTTTAAGATGGACGGCGATTCAAAAGAGGAGGTCACCACTGTCGTTGCTAAGCCTCGACCACGGCGTTCAATGGGTTTGGGCTACATACTGGAAGATGCTCAGTGGTTAGATGACGAGATGGATGAATAAACAAATACTGTGCAACACTGACCAATAAAGCTGATTCTGAAAATCTAATTATGTTTGTTAATGTTTGTCAAGGTCATAAGGATGTTATTGCAGCCACTGTTCACACTCTGCAAAACACTGTAAAGAAAAACAAAAGTTGTGTAAATAAATAAATAAATAAATAAATAACTGGTTCTGTCAGCTTCAGTTTTATTTTTGCTTTCAGGTTCTTTCCTTCCCCTTATGTTGGCCTCTTTATTTAAAAGGTGGGAGGTTTACTGCATAGTTTAAATATTCAAACACAGTGTGTAGTAACTACACAATGAGGTAGAGCAATCCATGCATGTAAGGAACTGCAAATGTAATTAATTAATATGGGATAAATATATATATATATAAGCACAAAGTGATGTAACTCACACAAAAATCTTAACTATTTTAATTTTTAAATTGAATATTTGGCTAAATCTTTGCTACGGTGGGGGGCGGTGCGACTGACGTCAGACGTCGATGACCAATCCCTACGCAGAGCGCCAAGATTCTCTCACAACGTCACAAAACATGGCAGAGAGGGACGCAGAAATCGGGTTCAAAAAGGTAGGCGCAAGGATGTCGCTCCGTTTTATTATGAATCGTTAAACTTACTCGGTTTCCCCTGTGGTTAAATAAAACAATGAGTATTGTTTTTATGTTTCGCTGAACTGAATTTGTTCTGTCCACTGAGCCTTCGCGCCAGCAGACCATATACATTGTTGCTGATGTGTCTGTCAGGCGATTAAACTTTACACCTTGCTGAGGTACAGATCTGTGGATTAACAATAAATGTAACGCCGAATGAAACAGCGGCTCACGAAGATTCAAAATAGTGTCACTGTTATGGGATAACAACAGCGTAGGTCGCCGATACAGTTGAAAACCATTAAATCGTAATTTTTCCAAATGCAGTTTTGTATTGGGAAGCAACGTAGGAGAACGCATCCGCAGGTTGCAAGATAAAAGCAGTGATATATGCTTGTTCACCATTCTCCTCATTTACAGGAGACGGTAAGCAAACTGCTCTCGAGTTTCTTCAAGGAGGACAAAACCAGACGTAAGTTTGATAATATATCTCCTGATATGAGAGACTTACCCCCCCACCAAAAAAAAAAACCCAGTTTATTTATGGCTCAACCAAACTCTTGTTACAGTAGGTGGAGATGCTGTGCTGCTCATGACAGAGATGCTCAAAGTATTTGTCCAAGGTATAGAGTTCTGTTGGATACAGATGTACATATCCTACTGATTGCTTGATGATGCATCTCTTAATTTGTTGTCTCATTTTTCCAGAGGCCGCAGTAAGATCACAGAAACAAGCCGAATCTGAGGACTGTGACCAAGTAGACATTGAGCACTTTGAAAAGATCCTACCTCAGCTGGTGCGTAGCTCAACTAAATCTGGTTTTAATGCCTCATTTAAGAGCTTAAATTACAATCAAGCAGTGCCAGGGCTGCTGCCCCGGTGTCCTGTGTGATCTTTATGTGTTGTTTAGACCAGCAAGGCATTTCAGGAAACTGTACTCTTCTTGTTTGTCTCCTGAATTCAAGATCCTTCAGATTACTGGTGCAGCTAATATGCACATACCTTATTTCACCTGTTGCCTGTATTACAGCTCATCATGAGAGTATAGGGCCTTCTATGTGATCACTGATTGTCAAACTTCTTGTGTTTGAGTCAGTATTCTTTATAGGAGTTTGTGTTTTAATTAGGGCTGCACATTTCTTTGGATTATAATGAAGTACTGTAGTTCTGCTCTCTTTTTAACATATGGTGCAGTCCTAGTTTTAATCACTGTACAAATTATTCAGTGTGAGCCATTACTCTTGTTCTGTGGTTCAGATAACCAGTGAGTTTGAGAGATTCGGTGCCTAGTGGTGTGGTTTTTAAATAAATAAGTTAATTTAAATCCATTTTCCTGATATCTCATGCTGGACCGGCCCAAACTGCTAGTATTTTGTTTGTTATATAAAATGCTGGTTGAACATACAGGGCAAATTGGACAGATTGGTCTCACATGTGCATCATTAAAGCACTAATTTAACTTTTTAATATTAATCTCAGTCTTTAATCTCTTTTCCAATGCAGCTGCTGGACTTCTAGCCCAGCGATGCCACAAGATGGAGCCAGAGTGTTTCCCGCATCCTCCTCCTTCAATCCGACAATTTCAGTTCCTGCACCTACAACTTTAGTTTTACTGATGTTTATATTTTCTGTATAACTGCAATTTCATAATCACTTAAATCTGAGATTAAATTAAGATCCTCGTTCTGTATTTATTGGGAGTTGTTTGATTTTAAGTGGAAAGCAGCAGTGCTGTCCGCACGCCTCCTTGCCACCATCAATAAGGCCCACCTGTGCTCTTCTGTGCAACAACAGGTGCTTCCAGCATGCTCCATGGCGCCCTTCATCAAAGCCTCCTGGAGCAGTTGGAAGCAATTAGAGTAATAAGGGGAGCAGCCAGTCCCTTAGATGATGACAAGTGCCAGGAAAAAAGGAGTACCCCCTCCGGCCACTTTGAAGTTCCCTTTTGCTGTCCTGCGATGTTTAGTTAGAGGTGGGGGGAAGGGC